TTCTGTCAGTCTTCATAACGCGTGGGACTGTGATATATCATGTCAACGCAACTGTGTATGTTCAGTAGCAATAGGATAATAAAAGGGGGCGCTCTTTAAAAAAAGAAGACATCTATAGGCCTTTCTTTTGTTTGTAAACATTAGCGCCATTTTATATGGGCTGCCGTAAGCGCATAAATTGAAGCCGTGGTTGGTAAGATATTTTTCTTATAAGTCCTCATAACGCCATCAACACATAGTAAAAAGGCATATGTAGGAATTATTTTGAAGCTTTGTTGAAATGATGTATTTTCAAGTATCAAATAATATTTTGGTGATCTGTAATAGCTCTTCTTCATTTTTGCAGTGCTGGACCTTCCATAGTTTTGCAGGCCGTGGTTGGCAAAAATGCAGTTTGCCAATCAAGCGCAGAAAGGCCTATTGGCCATTTATGTTCTCATTGGATAGTAATCGGCTGATAAAACAGCGCCCTCACATTTTTCTACGGGTTTAGAATGGTGACCGCGGGTTTTTCTTTTTCGAAAGTGTTCTATTTCTTTTGCATAATAATAAAAACATGCCGACCATCCTGCGTTTCCTTTGTGCTAATGATCTTAGTACTACATTACGTGTACATTGATGTAAAGGGCGCCCTTCTGGCACCGAGGGCTCATCCACCGATTAAGTGGTCAACACAACCAGCTTTTTTACATGCACATAAGTCCTTGTACATATTATCTGCACTTGACTGCATTTCTTAACCAGTCGTATGCGCAACACACAGTGCATTTATCCTCATGAGGCTGCACTTTCAAGGCAGAAAGGAAAGGGGGCGATAGGTCCCGTAGTATATGGCACCACCCTAGTATTAGGCCAAAAATCTGTCCGCCGAGCTCATGAATCAAAGGATTCTATGTTAGAGAGTTCTGAGAGCCATAAGACATGTGGCATGTACTGTACCTTTGCCCTGGACTTAAAGTTTCAAAGTCTGAGCATTCTGGATGCGGGTCCGAAAGTGGCGCTAGTTAGTCGTGTGGTCGAGGGATCCTTTTTCATAACTGGCTACTTTCCAGTTCTGGAATCACAGGTCGTTTTAGGGGTGGTCCTCTTTGTGTGACAGTTTCTCCAAAAATTCAGTGGTCAACCCACCAAGAATGTTGACGTATGGGGATTTATCACTGGTGAATATGGAAATAATGTTCTACTGGGGTGCACCCCTATATCTTCATCCCTCTTGAACTTGATGCGGCCTGGACAAAATGACGCTCGATCAATCTCGTCCCCAAGGCCGACTATATTTTCAACCTCGTTGTCAAAAGTAACCCCTGGTTGGGAAACTTGCTTCCTGTATCTTGATTCGATACCGCAAGTAATGGATTTATATCGTAGCGATGTTATATCGTACTTGGTGATTTTATTTCCATCGTGTATTACGTTTTTTAACGTCCATTGTGAATTATAACGTCCACTCCTCATCCGCCCTTTTCCATTTTGCTTAAAATAATAATTTTATGAACATGTGATATAAATACTGCATAATGGCTGGATAAAAAATCGTGTTTTCTGATCTCACGACGCTTAGAATTGATTCTGTTTGAAATAGTTGCTTCGGCATGCAGTGTACTACCGAAGCAGCTAATCAAAAGCACGGCCAGGCACCAGACTGTCATATACCTCAGTTGTGCAAGACTTTTGAACACAAAATGATCCAATACCAGGGTAAGAGAGCAGGTCGTGGTGGGAACGTACTGCTCGACACGTACCATGGGAACGGACATATATTTGCACCCACAAGAAAAGGTTAAAGCGCCCTCAAGCCTTGTGAGAACGCACACAAGTTGGTGCTTATGAACGAGACTTGTCACAGGCTAGGCTCCTTCATCACTCTGGCTTCGATATTTAAGGAGGCGGGAACCAGTTAATTAGTCATTCATTCACGGTTTTATTTTGCAAATGACCGCTGAGGACGTACAAATGCACGCAGTCTATTGGAGCTCATTCCTCAATCATTCGCATTGTGTTTTTGTGGGTTTTGGTGGAAAAGAACTCTGCAAATACCTAGACTGTAAATCTAGCCTCGTCTTGCTCGCCGCCATTTTTATTCTCTTGCAACCAAGTCATTTACCTTAGTACCCATGATTGAAGTAATGCCGGTATATTATGTGATTTGAGATAGCTTTAATATATCGTTTAGATTTCGAGCGATGTTCATAGTTTACTTGCCTGGCGTGATGGTTTGCTCGATTTCTCTAAAGCAAATTTACTTTCTTCAATTTTGCTAATGCTTTTCAATAAAATAAATGTTACCATTTTACAATTTTATGGTTCTGGATCCAGGATACTATAAAGGGAAGTAAAGTCCGAGAATTATTCTGTTATTAACAACTGACCAGTGGCGTAACCAGGATTTTCTCAGGGGGGAAGGGGGCACCAGTATGTTATTTCCCCAACAACATTTTCCCCAAATTTCCAGGCCACCGCAAGTGCTGCAAATTCGAAAAGCGGGGGGTGGGGGGGGGGGGTACCTCTTTTGACGCTATAAGGCGCTCTTTTTTCCTTATATGATTCTATTCACTTTTCAAAGCCGTGCGGATCAGAGAAGTCAAAAATAGTCATCTATATAGCTTCCTGTAATTCGTTTTGATAACTAAAACAAATACTAAAAAAAGGAACACTTCCTTGGCAAGGGGAACATTTCAGATTTTTGGGTGTGTGTGTGTGGGGGGGGGGGGGGGGGGGGTGTGCTTGGGGCACGTGTGTCCACCCCCCCCCCAGGCTACCCTTGTAGAACCCCCTTGGAGAACCCTTGTCATATGGTTGTTTTCTCAATCTGTAGTCGGTTATAAATCGTCACACGGCCTGTCAAGTGGAAGTACATGTCGACATCATACTGGACCTACGATCGTAAAACACAACACAAGGCCGTAGATAGTAATTTTTGTTTGTGCAGGTCGGTGCCGTAATTAATTTTTCCATGACATGTAATTGCTATCCATAATTATGCTGCTACTCACGGGAGAGGCCGGACCGAGACTGACGACCCCTTTGAGAGTACTTTTAGCTCAATTAATTTATTAATGAAGACACGGGGGAAAACAAGACCATGCATTTTGCTGTTTAAACAAATATGCAATATCCGTATTCAATAAGACCTTGATTGTGTTAGGGCAGTCATGGCCGTTGTCCACTGGAAAGTGATGATCAATTTCTAGATTACTAGCGGTTGAAACTGAAGGTTCATTTTTGAAAATATGAATGAATCTTCGTTCTCCGGGTTTACATCAGTGAGCATTGCAGTCTCCAAAAAAAATAAGACGTTAAATTGTGATTCTTAAATTCCAAATAATCTACGGACCTAACTTCGCTCGCTTTTGGCGGCCATCATGGCATTGCACTTCAAACGATTGATATTAGCAAAAGTCACACAAACTATCCAGAGGGGGGTCCAGAGGTTTTTTTCGGGTGGGGGGGGGGGGGCATGGGCATCGCGAGGGGGAGGGGGACGCCCATGCCCCCAAGCTGTGACTCAATTTTGTTTTTCATGGAAATATATGTGACCCTTGATATTATAAGAGTCAGTAATAAAGGGGAAGAGGACTCGGCTTCTCAGTTCTGATGTGGTGATTTATTCTCACACTCACTGAAAGATGAAATATACGGGAGAGGAAAACTCGATTAGACAAGATGTTCCCTCGGCTCCGGTTAGCATTGGAATCCACTTAAAATATTTACAAAATTACAATCAATAGGAATCTTAAAAGTAAGCCAAATAATTAAAATGAAAATGAATATTCAAGACGATGCTTTGAATCAGAATAAAGGTTTGCGGGGTGAATCTAAAAAAGAATAAGTGGGGATACGTTTTACGCCTGTGACGTATAGGTTTTCCCTGCCAATTTCCTAAAATGTTCATTCACTTCTGAAAATCGGTCATTCATTTTCGTCTGAATTTGAGAATCGCTCTGAACACGCGTTTCATTTTCGCTACCAGAGCATTTGATTCCATTTCAGTTTAATCAATTAAGTGATTGAGCACCACCTTTCGTTTATGTCCATTCAGATTACAAGACTTCTATTTCGCTTTTAGATGGCGATTTCAAACATTCACCACTCTATTTCACTTTTAGTTTAATGCCATCTGCACTAGATACAATTAAGGGTTTCTTTTTCATTAATCGTCATTCAACTAGCTATACCTGAAATTAATTTAGAAAAGGTATGCTTGCGTAAATGAATGCACAGGTAACGTAATTGGCCGTCTGTTTCTCAAAACCGAATGCACGGACAATGAAAACGATTGAACTCTCGTTGAATTGAAATGGAGACGTGCATTATATTTTAAATTCAGAAGAAAAGGAATGACCGTTTTTCAGACGTGAATGAAGATTTCAGGAAATTGGCCGGGAAAACCTAAAAAAAGTGAACCCCCCGCTGTGACACCAAAACAATTCTGACAATTATACCGGTAATAATGACCGCATGTGCACAACATTCGGACTGAGCCAGCTGACTGAGGTAGGGGGCATTTTGACACTATTCTGTGATATAGTGTTCATGATCGTAGGATTTGAACAGCGTTCCCATTGAAAGTATGGTACGAGCCCCCACCCCCACCCACCCGGCCCCCTCTTGATTATACGGAGGTCAAGTGTCCGGAGAAAAAAAATTGTCTACATTTCAGCATTGATTTGCTGATGAACCCACCCCCCCCCCCCGCAAAAATTCCTGGATCCGCCCCTGAGTATTGTTACTGAGAGCTAATTTCACTGGGAGGTCGACATAATGCTTGTTTTTATAATTCTGCCTGTGTTTCACATTTCATGTTCATTGACAGTCTCGTCACATCTTTCTACCTATCATTGTGATTGCTTTGTCCCTTGCGCGTGTAACGTTAGAGTTAAAGCCCTAATGGCGATGGGATGTCTGTTCTGACGGACTAATAATATAGGCCTGTTTAACTTACTTATCGCACGGAATACGTGTAGGTCTTCACGTGCAGTGCAGGCAATTATGTGTTTTCTCTTGTCTCTGTATCGGTACTAATACGGATTTACCGTCTATACAACGATCAAGTGGATGACATGGGTATAAAGTTGTTATTAACTTTAAATCCAGCATTTACCGTATGAGTGTACAATGACAGCAAACATCGAAGTAAACGTCCATTTAGTACGTTGTCGACCGCGAACAGGGGCGTGTAATGTTGACGTCATTATCAGAAATTACCACACGCGAGGTATTTTGCTGCACGACTGACGCTCTGTGATGTGATTTTGGTTTATCGCTTATGATACGGATGTACATGTACATGGGATATTCGGCGTGGTAACACGATGGCTGACATGAGGATTGTGCTTATCTGGATTGGATCCATGTTGGTATTGCACAGTGGTAAGTAATTCATCGAGATCCATATAACAAGTGTTTAATTGGAGTTTGAAAGTCGTTTGAAATTAGACGACACTGGCAATATGAGGCCTAACGAATCGTCAAAGTGGTTGCAAATATAAAGTCAGATTTTAAGCGGTTCTGTTTATGAAATTCATGTTGTAAAAATAATAATTACCCTGGATTGGACATGGGAGACATCCCCATAGACTTGTGCACAAAATTTTTCAAACTTAAATGTGCCCTAACCCAATATTCCCTTGTCCCTTTTCCACGAATTTCGGTATGTTTACTATTTAAACCACGAGCAACAAATATAATCTAATTGCGACAACAAAATTGTGCCTCTAAAGGGGGGCTGTGACATTAGGGAGACATGAAAATGTCTCCCTAAAGACCAATGTCTCCCATCGTGCGAAGAAATTACGATAACGTGTCTCCTTAGTGGGACCTTTACACGTATAGTGGTCCCTTTACACGTATAGTGGTCATGCTTAATTGGAAATGTATTGATTAACATTAACCAGTAGTATTTTTAGCTTTAAAAAAAATCTAATTAAACAAACTAGGTATGTCTGTGTTCATTGTTTTATGGGCAGTGTATTTTAACGGTAAATCTAAAGACAAAATATTATCGGAAAAATAAGATTTGTATATACACTATGTTTTTATTATGCCTGTAACATATCAAGTTTCCACGTACCACATTGTAGAAACCTATGTAAAAGCATTATGCGAGTGTACTGCATTTTATTTGTTATTCCGTCATCATCATGTTACAATTTAGTACAACATCCAATGCTTCCGTTCAATAAACAAAACAACGTAGGCTTAAACCAGGCATTGAATTTCTGGTATATGATTTGGTATATTATGCATAATGATGTTTGAACATTTTGTTTTATTTTGTCCCAATGACTGTTGAATTAAGTACCACCCTGAAATTAATATTTATATTTTAAGCGTTGCAAACGGTATTTTCGATCCATGGTCGTATACTTTTTTCTACAGAAGTGGTTATCATACACCTCTCAGCCTCTCTAGTCGCAGTTTAAAGGCATATATAGGATCACTTGCATTTATCACAAAACGAGTTATTATGAAAAAGCTTACCTTGATTAAAGAGAATATACATCATTTGCTTTTGCTGTAATTTTTAGAAATGGATAGAATTGGGGGGTTGGAAATATAAAGCAAATATAGTTACACTGACTTTTTGGAGGTTTTGGGTTCGAAAATGCTATAAAACCTAGAAAAACGATCATTTTCCTGTAGTCTGGTTCCCTGACTCCATATAAGAAGAAACAGAGCAGTTTACATACATTGGGGAATTGTAAGGTCAGAGAACCAGTCTAGCTGGCTCGTACCCGTTCATAGGTTTGTAATCGATTGCAAACAAGTGCAATGGTCAATTGGGGCCAGTATTTGAAAAAAAGCCAGTTGTTTCCAACGCTGATCGGCCGATCAGCGTTGGAAATTGATACAAAAATACCAATTTTCTTGAAATAACAGTATACCAGGTGCCATAATTTTACAGGATGCTTTAGACTGTCATTTACCAACATCCTATTAAGGTATTTCGCAAAAACTTTGTAGTTTTATTTTTCGATGTTTGCAAATGTTGTATATTCCCTTTAAAGGTTGTATACTGGTACTAAACAACCGTGAAATTATTAATTATTCCAAGTTATTATTAATTTCGAAGAAATTAAGAAATGTGGGTTGTTTCCAACGATCGTTCATTTGACGAAATCGTATATCGTGATCCAAAGGTTGTGCATATTATTTCACTGTTTTCTCAAAAATGTAATAGGTCTACCTACCGAACTGAAAGTTCAACAGATTAGGTTTTGAACATTCTTCTTTGAATTTTTAGTGGTTTTATAATTGGAAACGAACAAAATGCATGAAAAGCATCCTCTCTGCCCTTAAGTTGTGTTTATAAGTTGAATCTAAAGCATCTGTGTTTCCCCATTTGTATAGAGTCAAGTCGCGAACCAAGCAACCAGAATCGGTTACTGAAGGAATTACTGGATAACTACGGGTACACCACGGTGCGACCCGTCTACAACTTGTCCCATCCCACCACGGTAGAATTAAGACTGACAATCGTTCAAGTCATAGAACTGGTAAGGCTTTTCCCCGTTACTTTCCTCTGAAATATTACGTATTTATTGTTTTGCCTCTGAAGCATATCTTGTTAAATTTAAATAATTAACTTTTTAGAAATATTATCCCATTTTAAAAGCGAGTGTTGCCCATTCAAGGAACAATAATATAATACATTTGGAGCAGGTTATTACGAAAAACTTACCTGTTGAAATTTCAGCTATCATACTCAGCAAAGCAAGATTTCCGCTGACTGTCCTCCCTTGCAATGTGTTCATTGATAGGCCTACATGTTGACTTGCACCTTTTGTGGCATAATCCCCCGTTTGTCACCCGAGAAAAGGCATTTTCATTCGTGGAATTGTAACCAATTAACTAAATTGGGTTAATTTGGAGCAGTATATGAAAGAAATACCCATGTTTATTTCCACGCGATGGTTCGATCCGAACCATCACAAGGGGAACGATGGTAATTCATCGTTTGTTGAAAATGACAGCATCGGCCTATTGGTGCAATGATATTTCATTGTATATTTGAGCAGTTTTCGGGTTTTTTGGAAAGTTTGCAAAATGGTGGCCATTACCCTTAAGGATCAACAATGGCGTAACACTAGCGAAATTGGTTTCAATTAGCGGAAGTGTACCTTAGTCTGGTTCCCTGTCCCCATTGTCCTTCGTATATATGGCAGGTAGCCAGCAGTGAATCCAAAATGCATTAGAAGGCTTTTTCTCCTAATGTATGCAAATTATATGCATGACGTGCATGGGTCTGAATCCCGCCTCCTGATATGAATTCAAAATTACAACGGTAATGTTTTGGGGTTTTTTTTATTACGCGACAGCAACGGCCCGTGACCGAAGACCCGCTATAGAAAGCGCCCCGCTGATTGGTCAAAATCTAGAGGTCAAGATGCGGTTGTCTTGCATAATTAATCAGGTCAAGATGCGGTTGTCTTGCATAATTAATCAGCGAATCTGCTCAAACTATTGGGGATGTGCTAGGTAGCAATAGTCTAGGGCGTATATAGGGTAGTATAGGGGAAATACATGGTGGGGGGGGACCACTCTATCACAAATCGAGCTGGGTATTGCGAGAGGCGGTGGAGGCAGGCCCCGAGTGTGGGACATGTAAAGCAAGGTAGCCTATGTGGCAGAGGGACCCCCCCCTTTTGTGTTGGTCATTGTGTTACCGGAATCTCAAGAATTATTTTGAGATAGGTAAGGGGACGTGTCAGGTAACAATAGTATATCGTGCTTACGTTTATTAATACAATTGTTCAGTAATGGACGGTTATAAAATTGATTAGTGTTTACCTTTCTGGGTCACAAAACCCATCGCCATTAAAGAAATGACCAACCGGTATACTGGCGTTTTCGCGGTGGCCTGGCGTTATGTGTAAACACTGCCTTAAGTGCGCTCCCTGCGCCGTTATGATGGGAAATGGATGGACACTTCATATTGGAATGTATCTGAAGCTATTAGCAACCTGACATGATGATGTTTGTTCAGTGAAGTTGACTGGAAAACCAACGCAGCAGCAACTGCCTCCGTAATTATAAAATATATCAAGATTGCCTCAGTTTAGAGGCAAATGGACACTATTTGCAAAGATTCCAAAATGAAACTTGTAAGCTGTCATTTTCGAGAAAAAGAAGAATTTACCATCATTTTCCTTGCGATGGTAAGGACCAAAGCATAGCCTATCGCTTTCAACTTTTCGTCCAGAAAAATAAAGATGTACGCCTATTTTTCCCAAAAGTATAGATGTCTACTGAGCTGAAATTTCGACGAGTTAACTTTCAAACTTGCTTTAGATTTATTTGTGTTGTTGTTCCTTGAATCGTCAAAACACATTTTGGTTTGTTTTTTTAAATGGTGTCAATCAATATTAGGTTTTTCCCTTCACCGACGTGTAAACACTTTATATACACTCAGTGTGTATACTCAGAAAATGGTGTCCATAACCTTAAAAAAAGAACAAGTTTTTCTTATTTCATAAAAGGAGTCACTTATAGTTAAACAGAATTTATTTGGAGGTTGCACTGGTATTAATTTTGCCAGTCAGTCCTGCAGTATCTGAATGCAATGATGACAGAAGTCTTCAACGCTGAGCATGCGCATGACTGGAAAACATTTTGACAGCGATAGACCTGTCTTTGCCAACCACGCGTTGGCAAACTATGGAAGGCCAACGTTGCAAAGATAAAGGATAGTTATTATAAATGCTTCCATCATTGTGTCGTTGAAAATACAAAATAACCAACAAACAGGTTTACTCAAAATGCCTCTTTTGTAGCAATGATATACAAAATATGAAATGCGCATTTTTTCCATGTAATGTTAGAGAAAACAGTTCGCACATATTTTAAGGCAGTCAAGAAAGCAAGTTCAAGGTCATTTGAATTGACCACCAAGAATAGGGTTTCACGTCACATCGACTCCATTCCCACTTCACACTTTCCCCTTGTTTTCCATGATTCTGCGTTCTGTTCTGAAACAAGTATCGCTCGAGAAATCAGATGGGGGGGGGGGGGTGGTCACAATTTCGGGGGAGGGGTACCGCAACTGAAGCCCAATATCCGCTCCGATGATCCAATCGTTACTGATGATTTTGCACAATTTGTTCATACTTTTCTATAACAGAACGAACGGCACCAAACGATTGAGATAGGCGCTTGGTTAACGCAGGTATGTTGTAGTGAACTCTCTCTTTTTTCAAGTAAAGTCTGGTCAGATCCCTGTGGCAAAAGTTTGAATCTGTGTCTGACGTCTGTAGTAGAGAACATGTCGTTCGATATATTTTAGTGTGGCCTGTGTGAGGCCGATTTAAAAAAAAAAAACGAAACAAAGAAAAAAAAGCGGGCGCTTTTTCTTTCCCCAAAGATGGCGGATTTTCCAAGATGGCGAATGGTTTCTTCCATTTTCTTAACTCTTATGCTGGTACAAAATCGTGTCCAAAAGAGCATTACCCTTTCTACATAGCTACAAAATAAACGACAATAATTGCTGAATATATATTATCGTAAATGTTTGAATAACAAAGGGAAGGAGAGCGGGATAAAGGAAGCGGGCGAGGATGAGAAACTGGTTAATTTTTTTGACTTGACCTTACAAACTTTTTTTTTTTTTTGCTAAAAAATGTTGTAAAATGTAATATTTTATACCCAACGGTTTAAAACCAAAGTAGGGCCTACAAGATAAAAAAAAGTCCTAAGTGGTTAGATTTGACCAGCAATCCGCGTTCTATTTGGTCTGATTCTTTAACACAGCGTCGAAATGACACTCTTTGCCAAAATGATTCGAAGTGTCATTTTGCAGGGTGGTCCAAAAGAAGAAGAAGAAAGTTTACACTTTTTTTCAGAAGCAGATTTCTCAAAATTGAAGAGACATGTTGAAATTGTTTTAAGATATTCCTAAACTACAATATATTGGTCGTATATGGTGAAAACGGCAATGAAAATAAAACCAAAAGTAATTAAAAATAACGGCCATTTACAGCAAATTTGTCAAAAACTAGTTTATCCACATCTATGGCAGTCGTGTAGACCTAATTACAATAACATTGTTGCAGTTATTTGTGTGGGCATTGCTATTGTGTTAACCACCTCCTATAGACTTGGGTGTGGATAAACTGGTTTTTGACCATCTTACTTTAAACCGTCGCCATTTCTTAATTTAGGCTTTATATTCAGTGCCGTTTTCACCATATAACGCGAAGATGCTGTTGTTTAGGAAAATCTTGAAAGAAAATTAACAGGACTCACTCAATTCCAAAAAGTGCAAACAATTTGTGGACCACTTTTTAGAGAAAACACCATGTCGAAAATTTAAAAAACCCAATTTTCAGATGATATATTTTGTGTGTCATGCAAAGATGGACTGTTTAGGAAAATCTTGAAAGAAAATTAACATGACTCCCTCAATTCCAAAAAGTGTAAACAATTTGTGGACCACTTTTTAGAGAAAACACCAAGTCGAAAAAAAAAGAAAAAAAAATTCAGATGATATATTTGTATGTCATGCAGAGATGGACTGATGAGTATATGAGATGGGAGCCGGCGGATTATGGTGGAGTGGATCACCTGTACGTGCACAAATCGCTGATATGGCTGCCAGATGTAACCATGTACAAAAAGTAGGTTTAATGTCCTCCGTTGAAATGCAATGTTTTGTGGTGAAAATAATGCGGGTATTGCTCGATGTTCGTCGTCATACATTTTAAGCGCACATGGTATATTGTTGTCGGCATTAATATTTGGGATATTATTTCTGATGTGCATAGCCATACGTATTTGCTTCTTGTGTATTTGCGAACCATATCATATCATACAAAAAACGACCTAGATGTGATTTCTATACAACAGAGAGTTACTTACTTGGAACTCTTTGGGAAATGCTGTTGCATAGGAAGCTCATGTGGAAGTATTACAATAAAGAATTTCCAAATAACAATAGACCATGTTTTGGTATATTGTGGTGCAGAGACTGAAATGGTAATTAACCTTAAGAAAGGTTGCAAACAACCAAGGCATACAAACACAGACCTATGCGAAATACTCCGACATAATGCACCTTTCCTTCCGTGCATATTCATGCAGTGTCGACCGCGACTTCGAAAGCTACAAGGACATCTCCGCGAAGGTGAGTCATACCGGCTTGGTCAACTGGGCCACCCCTGTCATCCTCAAATGCACCTGTACGATCGACGCCCGCCTGTTCCCCTTCGACACCCAGGTCTGCCAGATTCGCTTCTCCTCCTGGGCGTTGGACTCGCGCGAACTGAATCTCACCGAGATCAAGGAGGATTCCCGCAAGAATTTCTACACCGACGTCGGGGTATGGGAGCTCCTGGATGTGGTTGTCGAGCGAGAGGAAGTGTCGTACGATGACGGTACGACTTACGTGGACCTGTCGCACTTCATCCATCTCCGGCGCAGACCGCTCTACCACCTCCTTCAGATCATCCTGCCCTGTCTGCTGCTGTCACTCCTGAACCTCATGGTGTTTATCCTGCCCCCCCAGTCCGGGGAGAAGATATCACTGGGTGTGACCAACCTCCTGTCGTTGATTCTGTTCCAGCAGTTGATCAGCGGTAACCTGCCGCCGACCGCAAACAACGCCCCGATCATCGGTAGGATTTTGCTAAAGTGTGCCAGTAAAAAAACTCGTTTAAACATTTCACACTGTCTTGTTTACTGTATTGAAACCTGAACCATGCTTTGTTAATGTTAAGGTTCGCATTCCTTTCTATAGTCGTACAATAATTTCCTAATTAGACAAACATTCAAACGTTATCCGCATGCCATCTTCATCGGGCGGGTGCCATTTTGAGTCGAATGCCTCGTCTTCTACCCAAGTAGTTAATTACACAGAAAAAAAACGCGTTAGGATACAAACAGTAACGAAGCATGGATACATATTTGAGGGGTTTTTTTTAGGGGACTTTCTTTGAGATTGATCAAAGTTTCGACATTTTTCCTCTCTAACTTTTGCTAGTGGAAGGAACGCGGGGATTGTGCCCCTTATATGCACTTTACCCCCTTACGCAACTGATTGGTCATTACACTCGTGTCGTTATAGTTAATATACAATCTCAAGCAGATTTCCCTCGGTATTTTTGGTTCTTCTGCAGGGTTTTACTTTACTCCGATGATAGCTCTATCCTGCACCTCCATCGTGTGCACCGTAGCTGTACTGGGCTTGTTTTACCGGGACAATCGCCGACCCATCCCCCGCTGGGTTGTATACATCGTGTTTGGTATCCTCTCCAGGCTAGTATGTCACCGTACCTCGGGCGAAATCGCGCCAACCATCTCTAAATCTCGGCGTGGAGAGAGTTCCCTCACGCGAGAGCCAGAAAACGTGGAGTCAACGTATGACTTGACCGACTTGTCCGGAAACTTGACCGAGAACGTGCGGGAATCCTCGCCGGCCAAGTCGCTCCTCCGCCAGGCAGGGGACTGGGACGAGACCCGCTGCAGACCCTACGACGCCACCAAGCAGCTGTGCACGGTGTCCCACTCGAAGACACACGATTCGCCCGTCATGAGAGCCAGAAAGCGCGTGTGTGATGGCGAGTCTGAGACTCGACTGAAACGGCACCAGACTCGTCCGTTGCCAAGCAGCCATACTTGGCGGGAAGTAGCAGTAGTGATCGACAGAACAGCTCTCATGCTGTCTCTGCTTATAACTCTGTGTTCAATTGTAACTTGTGTGGTCTCGTTCATAATTAGTTTTCATTCTGAGTAACATGGAATGTAACTTGCGATTTCACCATTAAATTATAAACCTATTGCAGCAGTTAAACAAAATTCATTCTTGGCTGTAAATGAGAAAAACGGTCAAGCAGGGCACTTGTTACGGAAAGTTGCAGGCAGTATGCAATTCGTTTGCGTGGACCCATTTTTTTCAGCAACAATACGCCGAGTTCCCGGCTTGAGTCACTTCGTTTTAAAACCCAGAGTGTGAGACATTTTCATGTCGCAATTTCTCTGAGCAATCCCCTAGGGAAGATTGATTTATACAATTTAATATACAGTTGTATCATTAGCACAGGGCCGTCGCATCGTGACACCCCCCCCCCCCCCCCCCTCATTTAAAATTTCTGTCGGCAAATCCATAATTGTTGTCGGCAAATTTGTAAAATTGAGGGCCTTTTTTATAGTATCTTACCGTTGTCGGCAAATTTTGAAATCTGAGGACTTTGTCTTTATCTTTTTTTGCTTGTCAAATATTTTGTTGTAAGTTTGTCGGCAAATTTTACTTTCTACACCTCCAATAGTTTTTTTTTCTGTCGGCAAATTTGTAAATTTGAAGACCCTTTTTTCTTATTTGCTTGTTGGATGTTTTGTGCGCAAATTGTCGGCAAATTTTGTCCGACAACCCCCCCCCGTCATTAAAAATGATTTAGCGACGTCCCTGCATAAGCAGCCGACCCTTTCAAGCAGGCATCGATTATTCACACATGCATTGTCCATTTTTCCTTTTAATATTGTTATCATATCTACTTAATTTAGTTGCAATACAGACGTAATGATTATTCTAATCTGTTATATTAGCTTATCATAATCATTCAATAACTTACACCGCGTTCCCACTTGAATTGGAAAAAGGTGGATCAAGATCCAGCATTTTGGTGTGATCGTTATCTTACCGCAACGAAACCGCAAGTCGCGTTCCCACTTATGCTTGATCCACCTTTTCGTACGGAAATGTTGGGTCCGAAAGGTCACTGAGTTCGGAATTACGCGCGCTCTGTGGGAGTGCCATTGTTGCATGGTTGTATGCTAGGCCAGGATGGGTCAGTTTTCAAACAGTACTATCAGAATTCACAGACAAAAAATTACGCGAATTCACCAACATAAATCACGGATCCGTAGAGGATCCGTGCGTGCATAAATTAACAGGTGAAATCCAACAGAGCCGCTCATTGTGTGACATCACGGCAGAAACCAATGCATCGATAAGGATTCCCTGGTTCTGAAGCTTCTCATTGGTTAGAAACGGTCACATGATGTACTACGACATCATTTTCCAATTTTCTATAATCAATACTTCAGATTTGTCACCTCCGTACGTACCGCGTTATCGGCACTATTCTCATCCGCATACTCGTAAGCTTTTCCATGATTCTGTGCCAAAGTGAAGTCTTTTGGTGAGTGCAGACTCAGAGTCATTTATGGATGGAGAAATAAGTAAAATTTTAGGAATCAAAAAGGTTTAGTAATGGACGAACACGCAACAAAAATAAGGCCTGTAGTGTAGTTTGTGGATACCACGTGCGCTTTTGCATGCGCGGTGCTAGCCCGTAGTTCAGCGGTTGTTTATTGTGCATGTTGTATACGCTGGAAATGTTCACATGAGCTACACGCCTGAAAACGTGTTTCTTCGTTCATGAGACCGCAACATTTTCGCGCCACTCGTGCACCGGGCGGATGTTAACAGGTCAAATTGCCGGATCAGATCCACCTTTTGCGTTCCCATCTGATCGTGATCCGGCAATTGCCGGATCTGATCCACCAATTGGGGGATCTGTATCCTGGTCCAGAGGTGGATCAGAAAAGGTGGATCTGATCCTGATCCACCTTATAACGGTTAGCGTTCCCACTACACACAATTGCCGGATCTGATCCACCAATTGGGGGATCTGATCCGGCAATTTGGCAAAAGGTGGATCAGATCCCCCAATTGGTGGATCAAGTGGGAACGGGGTCTTAGACATCATAGACCCCGTTCCCACTTGATCCACCAATTGGGGGATCTGATCCACCTTTTGCCAAATTGCCGGATCAGATCCCCCAATTGGTGGATCAGATCCGGCAATTGTGTGTAGTGGGAACGCTAACCGTTATAAGGTGGATCAGGATCAGATCCACCTTTTCTGATCCACCTCTGGACCAGGATACAGATCCCCCAATTGGTGGATCAGATCCGGCAATTGCCGGATCACGATCAGATGGGAACGCAAAAGGTGGATCTGATCCGGCAATTTGACCTGTTAACATCCGCCCGGTGCACGAGTGGCGCGAAAATGTTGCGGTCTCATGAACGAAGAAACACGTTTTCAGGCGTGTAGCTCATGTGAACATTTCCAGCGTATACCACATGCACAATAAACAACCGCTGAACTACGCGGGGATACGGGCTAGCACCGCGCATGCAAAAGCGCACGTGGTATCCTAAAACTACACTATAGGCCTTATTTTTGTTGCGTGTTCGTCCATTACTAAACCTTTTTCATTCCTGAAATTTTACTTATTTTTCCATCCATAAATGACTCTGAGTCCGCACTCACTAAAAGACTTCACTTTGGCACAGAATCATGGAAAAGCTTACGAGTATGCGATGAGAATAGTGCCGATAACGCGGTACGTACGGAGGTGACAAATCTGAAGTATTGATTATAGAAAATTGGAAAATGATGTCGTAGTACATCATGTGACCGTTTCTAACCAATGAGAAGCTTCAGAACCAGGGAATCCCTTATCGATGCATTGGTTTCTGCCGTGATGTCACACAATGAGCGGCTCTGTTGGATTTCACCCGTTAATTTATGCACGCACGGATCCTATACAGATCCGTGATTTATGTTGGTGAATTCGCGTAATTTTTGTCTGTGAATTCTGATAGTGCTGTTTGAAAACCGACCCATCCTGGCCTAGCATGCAACCATGCAACAATGGCACTCCTACAGAGCGCGCGTAATTCCGAACTCAGTGACCTTTCGGACCCAACATTTCCGTACGAAAAGGTGGATCAAGCATAAGTGGGAACGCGACTTGCGGTTTCGTTGCGGTAAGATAACGATCACACCAAAATGCCGGATCTTGATCCATCTTGATCCACCTTTTTCCAATTCAAGTGGGAACGCGGTGATAGTTAGAAAGGAATGTATCATGTTGGATTAAACAAATCTTTCCTGCCTATTCGGTGTAAAATACGGTGTTTTTTCAACGTGGTTATACTAATCTGTTATAATAGCTTATCATAATCGTTCAATAGTTCAATAGGAAAGTATCATGTTGGATTTTTTTTTGCCCATTTGGGACAAAACAGTCACAGTTCCCGACTGAGAGAAAAAGCCGTGAGTGACATAAAAAGTTGAAATTAAAAATAATAAAAATTTGATCCCAGGATTTGGTTCTATCGTCAATGGAAAGAGGATTGCGGGATGGGTTGTTACCAAACATCATTCTTAAGGTCCCGTTGTTGTTGTTGTTGCTGTTGTTGCTAGTGTTGCTGTTGTTGTTGCGGTGTGGCATGTCATTCATTAGTTCAAAATAGCTTTCCGCTTTTACTTATATAGATTCGGTTATTTTAAAGTAAATTCATAGACTAGCAAATAAAGGAAAACAAATCAAATACCAGAAATAGAATACCAAGAAAAAAAATCAAATACCAGAAATCTCAACCCTTTTCTTCCTAACCTGTTTTTTGGGGGGTCTTTTTCCTTTTTCAAATTCTTCTTTCCACCCATTTGGGGCCTACACTGGCTTCATGTTGCACTTGTCTTTTACCCTAACTCCCAGAGTGTGCGAGATCTTACGACATTTGGTAACGGCATACAGGCTGATCCAAACAAAATGCAACCCTGAAACGTTTGCCCTTGCTTCAAGAACGTGATTTGTGAATTCTTATGTTTTGGATATCAGATTAAAGGTGAGAGCTTTTTCTTTCAAATACTGAAGCAAATCATGAACACAGCAAATTAATTGGGTAGCTGAGAAAATGCCAATTATGTACAAGAAGTGATTTTTCATCCCTTCCAAAGGTGCTTCAAACAGTGAAATGTGTTACTGTAAGCCCAATGTGTAAATTGTCTTTCACTTGTGCAATTTCTTTAATATTTTGACATATTTATGATGCCGAAAAGGTTTAAAATAGGAGCTTAAATGGATAAGGTGCCTGTTCTGGTGGAAAATAAAAGGTATTTCCATCAAATTAATTAGTACTCTTTGTACTCTTTATTATGTGCCGTGTTGTTTGTAACACAATGCGCTCCATGCATTACATGCATAGGTACAGTAAATCCCTTAACTGTGGTAACGCCATTGGAGCGGATGAAAAATCACTTCTTATTTACATAATTGACATTTTCTCAGCAACCCAATGTGTTGTTTTTATTATTTTCATTAAAGAAAGAGCTCTCAGTTTTTGTCTGATATTCAGATGTTCAAATGATATAAAATGTTTCAGGGTTGCAAATTTGTTTGGTCACCCTATATACACCGTCCATTCAGTAGAGATATTAACGCCTTTTTAATATCGTATGGGCGTACCGTACATGGCGATGGGAGTCACATAATACGTTGGTTTTTAATTATCCACGCATGACTTAACTAAAAGCTTTATTCCATAATTAATATACGCATTTGGCAATTCATCTTTAAAAAGCCGAACCAGTCCAATACATTATTTTTTTTACAAGAGTCTGCATCGCGATCTAACTGATGAATAAATAATGCATTTTCTCCATTGTCAAACTGGCTAAATAATTAAAAGATATTTACAAATTGTAATATTACATGATACCTTCGATCTTTAAATTATTACAAATGTATCGATTATACGCCAGGAAATTTCGTCCATGCACAGATGGGTTTTGGTTACACACAGTATACGGAGAACCAAAGGAGCTGTCTACCTGAGTAATGATTTATTTACATTCAACCTTTACTGTTTGTCAGCATAATTCACGGACAAAAATGATTCGTTACTCAAAATACACTAATTTATTATAATAACCAATGATTGTACAGGTTTGTTAGTATACTGCTTTTACAGTCTATGTGAAGTGCGGACTGAAGTCGCTTCCGTGATGTGTAATTGTCAGTCGTGGGCAATTAACCCGGACACGTCTCGCACTCGGATCTAAAATGAGTCTACATCCACCCGATGAAGATGGCTAGAACTAATGAAAAACTGATCCACGTACAGTCGGTTTTATTTGCTCATTAATGTTGATGGAATCGCTGAGGAGGTTTCTGCCCGCATCGTGAATTTATGCACATTCAATTACCTCTACTGTTGGTTTAGAGTGGTTCATTTTCGATAATGTGAATCGAATTTGAAAGTTCGCTTCTTTACTCATAATACACACAATAACATTCATTAGGCCTATCATTATTGTAAAGTTTAATATTGCTACTGTCAATACTCGGATCTGAAATTGTAAGTCTACCTATATTTTAAAACCTGTTGGCAATATGGACTGACAACTGAAACAGATAGGACACAAAAGGTACAACTTCAATATATTAATAAGCCTCTGCACCGGGTCGCCCGCGGCCGGCCGCGGGACGGTTGTGCATCCTCGACCCCGGCCCGATGTGCATGTACGTCGACACCGATCATATGGTAATATGTAGATATTGGCAGCGCCAACGAACAAAACACGACTGTCGGGCAACTTGTCCTTAAGTCTAAGTTACCATAAGTTACCACGTAACAACCTCGTTCCAAGGGCCTACTTTGTTTCCAACCTCGTTTCCAATAGTAGGCCCTGGGATGGGAACTCCTTACTCGTGCTCCGATTGGACAGTGACATTTATTAATAAAGCATCCATATCTATATATATAAGAGAGAGTTTAACTCGGCCTCCCAGACGATGTTTGCTCATGAAAGGATCCGAGACCGCGAGCTCCCGCGGCGCCAAAATCGCTCCACGTCCGTGGAAAAATGCGGAGGGTGTCTTCTGCCGGGTCGGACACTTCGGGTCGTCCTGATTGTCCCGTACGGACCGGCAATCCGTTTCGTCGATTTTTCGTGACTGCTTTTTGTGCAGGAATTTGCCGTCGTGTGCGCTTTCACGTTGACTGCCTGTCCGCCCCCTGTGCTGGCTTTTTCTGCTTGTCTAGACTGTGCGAGGTCAGCGGCTTCGACGTAGGGGTTGCGTTTACGTGTTCTACTTGGCTGTTTAGCAAAAGTGTTCACCAAACGTTAGTAAGGGGTGACCTTGGTAAAATATTTTTTGTCCATGGTGCGTGGCCACCAAGTGTCCCTATTCTTTCATATGCTTCGCTTGCCGCCCCTGTGCCGAGTGCAACGAATACTCAGAAGGACTACACATTAGTATGCCTAGCGCGGTTTGACCCAATCGAAAGTCTACACTGCGTGGTACTTCCCGGCTATGCGTAAAACCGTCACTGGCAACGCGTACTGCAGCCTGCTCCACACCCTGGAAACGAGGTTAAGTCTACGGTGCTCGCTATTTGAAGCACAAGCATGTGATGTCGCGTGATAGAGTGCTGTTGCTTCCATAATGTGTTTACAGCTCCATGCTTCCACTAGGCTTCCACCAAGGCTGAGCGTTGTGAGTTCGCTGCCCGCCACGTATAATTCAGTGTCGTGTTATAATTTCGGGGGCCTGTTTGGGGTCAACGAAGGATCGATGCATTGACACAAAAATCGACGAAAAAGTGTCCGACCCGGCGGAAGACACCCACATTTTTCCACGGACGTGGAGCCATTTTGGTGTCGCGGGAGACCGCGGACTCTGATCCTTTCAGGAGCAAACATTCCTCGGAGGCCGAGTAAAACTTGCTCTTATATAGATGGTTGAACCAACTTCAATAAAAGTTACATCGACTTTTTCCTTGCAGACGGTCTCGCGAATTGTAAGAAGTTCAAGTTTACGTTTGTTGAAGAGTCCAATACTGAAACTTAATTATGACCTTCCTCCATGATTCAGACCGTTTGTAATTTTATGGTAACACTAAACATTTTCATTTCAAATGACACCTTTACGTTTTATTGCATTATGATTTATTGTCAAAACTGTACAATCAGCCTTCGCCTGTGTACTACGGTAACCTTTTCACTGCGTTTTCCAAATGCGACTGCCTCACAAAATGCCAATTTAACAGACCAACGGGAACATTTACAGACAAGTTGCCATGGTACATAATTATCATGTGCGTAAATCGACGGGGGACAGGGGGAACCCCCCCCCCCCCATTTTAAAGCGGGGGACATTGTTTGGTTCCCCCCACTTTTTCTTCCCCGAATAAAAATTGTAGCCTACAACATTGATTCTATTGTTCAAAATACATGTAGCTGATTCAATTAATCCAAAGTCATAACTTTAAAAGATGATCTTTTGCTGAAATTGGTTTTAGTGGTCAGAAATTGCCTCAGATCACACCACAGAAATTGCTTTCCTATAACTGCATGTCTCCTTAACTATATCCCCATTTACATTTAACTCCCCAAATTTTCATTCCCAACACTACGCCCTACCCGATCTATGATCGGGTAAATCAGCTTGTTCATCATATGGGCCATTGTATCTTTTACTTATTAATAAAATCCTCATTCATAGAAGATCTCAACAGTTTCATCACGAATAAGTATAGGTCCCTGAACACTTTTTCCGACTCGTGCACATGAACCCACAGATAACAACATGACTTAGCCTTGAAATGCATGGATTTTCCAATCAAGCTATTATACCAAGAAACTAGCCTATGCTGTGAATGTGACGAATTGTGAATGTATTACCATCAGACTATTATGTGTGCGCCCACAATACATCGCCCACACAGAGCCGAATTTGCATACATATCCAAACATTTTGGATGTGCAAACGATCCAATAGACCATTATCATTTTGCAGCCATTTGATTTTTTTCCCATTCAAATCAATGTTACCAAAGTGAGGCTGGAGGGGAAAATAGTCTGGTTCCTTTTTGCACAAATTCAGTACTGTTATTGGATACAGGGAACATGACTGAAATGGTGGAAGCATGATATAGGTCTAGAACAGTGTGAGAGTGCGGGCAGTACGGTTGGAGCGAGGTTGACCACGTAAGAACTTTAAGCCAGCCTTTAAGAACTTAAAACCTGTTTTTTTTTTCAACCAACCGTGCAAATGGGCGCATACTCTACATCTCAACAACGAAAAAGATAACAGTTATAAGCAGAGCGATAGATGTGATTAATACAGATAAGATCATGGTGGCACGATCAATAATCAATGCCACGTCTTTCCAGTTCACGATGTGCTTCCTGCCAGAATGCGCCGGTCTCCTCGAACCAGTCGTAGCCGCATCTTTGGTGGATTCTTGGGCTGTTCCGTTATTAATGGCTGCAGACTCGCTTCCGTTTGAGTACAACTTCTGCATGAAGTGCATGCTGTAAGCAGTTGCACTAGTGCAGCGTGTTTTGCCCGAGCGTTGGCCGTCGTACCTGGCGTCGGCGTCGACCTCTCCCGCGCCGGCTGCGAATGCATCCTCGGTGTTCACGGAACGCGACGAATCGGTGAATGTACAAGTCGCTGTCAGCACCCCCGAGTCCGAGTCCTGAAAGCGATTGTTGTCCTCCTCGCCGTCCAGACTGAAGTTGGGGTTGCAGTTACCGCGGTCTTTTGGTGGTGGGTGGTGAACTTTGACCTTGTAGAACACCACGACGGCTATTTTCAGGACGAGAGAGCGCAACCAGCGAGGCACTGGACGGCTGTTGTCATGGTAGAACAGGCTGAGCACCAGTACCGTGCACATGATGGAGCTACAGCCAATGGCGATCATCGGTGTAAAGTAAAAGCCTGTGAACAATATAACGAGAAGCCAAAAGACTGTTAAAGAATTACTCTGATTGGTTGGCACCGATAGCCTGCGATGACCAGCGATCTTGAATTCATGTGTGGCGATTTCGGGCGGACAAGGCCGGACCCCATTCATCCATTAAACTTAAACATGAAATTCCGTATGATTAACCATGTCCGATATCTAAATTTTAAGAACATTACATGGGGAACTGAAGGCCTAAGCCTACAGATGATTGGACACATGAGATCGATAAAGGACCCAACTCTACCAAACCATTTTGCATTATGTGTAGATGGAAGTCCCAAGTGCATATATAATGGTGGTATTTTAATGACGAATGTGGAAAAAATCTTCTGCTTTGTGTCCTTCCTTTACACAAAGGAAGGCTGTTTTGTCAGCACTATGCAAAATGGGCTCTTCTTTCTATGCATATTTCATAAAAACAGCAAAATAATCTTACCAATAATTGGCGATTTGTCCGAGGTAGGAGGCAACGACTCGCTGATGAGCTGCTGGAACAGGACCAGGGCCAAGAGGTTGGTCATGCCCAGCTGGATCTTCTCCCCGGACTCCGGAGGCAGCGAGAAGACCATCAGGTTCAAGATGGACAACAAGACGCAAGGCAGGATGATGTTCAAGACATGGAATAGAGGGCGGCGACGGAGATGCAAGAAGTATGAGATCTCCGGGTAAGGGGCCGGGCAGCAGGCATACCACTGCTCCTCCCTCACCACATCCACGAGAAGTAGCTCCCACACTCCGTTGTCGGCGAAGTGTGCCTGACATTGTAATAAATATATCACTCGTAAAAATCAGGAGAAAAAAGCTAGATCCATCTACCAAAGAGCACAGAAAACACGCAGATTTTAAAAAGTGCATTTCTGTATATTACTACACTCTAAAAACAGATTGGTTAAAAATAGGCTAACCAATATATTGGTTGGATTGGCAATCTCGGTATTGTTGGCAACATAACCAATCCTACCAATATATTGGTTCTTTCTACCAATCTGTCTTTAGGGTGTATCAAACGACATTCCGTGTCTCTTGAATTCAAAGGCATATATAAGGCCAAAAAAAAATAAGTCTCCGGTTTCTGGTATGGAGCTTGCCCAAAAAGTGGTGCGGCGACGCGGCTTTTTTTTTTTACCTGATTTTTTTTGCCTCAAATGTCGGCTGATGACTGCAAATGGTGCCCGACTAGACTTAGTGCAAATACATGGGAGTCCAGAGAAGCCACATAAAGCTTATTCTCGATCATAACCCCATCTAAAAACACGTTAAAATTGTGCAGCAGCAGGATTCCAGTCAAACCAGTGAATTTGGCGGTTTTGAGACATCATATTTCATTGAAAAAAAAACCTTTTTCATTTTGCCGACGCGCATGGCTACGGCGACGTGCGCGCATACCAGAAACCGGAGACTTTTATTTTTGGCTTAATCACTTGCATTTTTTTCTCAACAATAACCCACCGAATTATTATGAAAACGCTTGCTTGGATTGAAAATCGTTCTGGTACAAAACACAACAGACGCTAGAACCCCCAAACAGTGAAAAACTTCACTCGGCTGACATAATAGGGGGGGAAAACGATCAAGAGTTATTTTTTTCTCTCGATTTTCGACTGAAATGATTCATCTAAAACAAAAATTAAGTATCTAAAAACAATCTAAAATTTGAGTGATTTTCACTCCGAAACATCCATATACCTGGGTTCCCTGGGCTCCTTCCTGTCGGACTAAGTCGACCTCGGAGCCGTCGAACGCCCAGGAGGAGAAGCGAAGCTGGCAGACCTGGGTGTCGAAGGGAAATAGACGGGCGTCGATCAAGCAGGTGCATTTGAGGATGACAGGGGTACCCCAGCTCACTACCCCGTTGTGGCGAATCTGCACGGAGATGTCCTTGTAACTCTCAAAGTCTTTGTCCACACTAGGTCGAGTGGAAACAGAAGTGTTTTTAATTTATAGATATTGTAAAGATATCGTAGAGAAGATCAAGGAAATGAAATGGAGATGGGCAGGGCACCTAGCAAGAAGATAAGACAACAGATGGACCAAGAGACTCACAGAATGGCAACCAAGGACAGGCAGAAGAAGAAGAGGTAGACAAAAAAGGAGATGGAGAGATAAGCTCACCACATACATGAACACGGCAACATGGAGTAGAATGACCAACAGAAGAGAATGGAAACGGCTCGAGGAGGGCTTCATCCAACAATGGATAACCACATCCCGATGGTGATGAGATAGGATGCCATATAGTTTTCATTGCCATATGGAGAAGGCATTTTTGCTTCACTTTAATCAGTACATGTTCGTTATTATGTTACCAATAATTTACAGTTATTACAATCTATTCTTTCACCAAAACTACACATCTGTAATATGAACTTTTTACGCATTTATTACATCCAACACGGAAAATACAAGCCGTACACAATCTAATAGTTTTTTGCTTGACGTACTTTTTGTACAGCGTTGTGTCTGGGAGCCAGACCTTGGATTTGTGTACGAACAGGTTGTCCACTCCGTCATAGTCAGCTGGGTCCCACTTCAGGAACTCGTCATCCCAAGTCTGACCAAAAAAAAATATCAAAATCACAAACAGAAACTTTTGACAAGACGGTTGAAACGGATGATCTAATCTTTTAAAACGTTCTTTATCTCAACTTTAGTAAAACGAAACTCAACTCATAACATTACGGAAATAAAGAAAACACCCCTAGTGTAGCTGTCAACATCACGGAGAACTTCCTTGAAAGTGTTTAGTTTTTTTTATATTTCAAGGACTTGATATCATTTTAGATCTGCTTATAATCCTAGTTGTTTTTATTTGTATCCTTGTTTTCGACAGCAATAACCTAAATTATGAAATAGTTCATTTATTTTTTAATTACACGGAGCCTCTTTCTATTACCTTTGAAGGTATCTCTCTTTTTATCTTGAATCAGGTATAGGATTTGACTGACTCCGCTTATTGCTTTGCCGTCGAAATATAATGCCAATTTCTGTATGTGTGTCATTCGGGATGGCATTTAGTGACTCAGTTTGTTTCAAGGCTTCCATGTGTGATTTTCCTGTTCTGTTTGTCTACGGGAGCAAATATTTTGCTAAAGATCGGCAAATCATATATGCGGTGGCTATTAATTAATTTATAAATTAAATTATAAGCCATGCACTAACCTGCCGTAGCCATCCACTGATCTGTATTGTTTGATGTTTCTCGTTCTAAAAGGCAAATATATGCAAAGATGATTACAGAAGAAAATCTGCACTGCTGCTTTAAAATCTGATACCAAATTATTCTGACGAATGACTAAGTTTAAAGATGCACTGTCGATTCGTTCACCTGAGAAATAAGGCTTTGTTGTAATCGCCATTTTGCTAGCGGTGCAAGGCTGTTCATTTTGGTTAACAGAACTCAACCCATCAAACCCAACGGCATGTTCTGTTGGAATCTGTCAGAATGGGTACAGTACCCCTAAACTGACAGTCTTTTACATTGGGTTGGCACACCTCCAGAATCAAAGTCAGAAATATGTGTGTGCAGTTTCCCATATGGTGTTGGAATTTGCCAGGATGGGTATGGTTCCTAGTAAATCATGCTATAGGAGTTAGTCACGCAGTTAAGACTGGTTACCGCCCTATAAGAATCGATCATGTAGAAGCCGGGATCCAGTCTATGCGAAAAGCTTCCCAAAATAAAAGCGCCTCTTTTTTTAGAAGTTGCAGACACTAAAAATGGAGGGAAAAAAATGTAGGGTTCGGTTTTTCCTTAAAATAAAACATACAAGTTAAAAAAAAACCTTGGGAGAAACTAATTAAATTTCTCGAAGAACACTGACAAAACATATTTAATGGACCTCACAACATTAAAAAAAAATGTACAAGCTCAAGGTGTTGTTTCCACATGCCATTACCTTAAATTGTGCAATAGTGATGTTTTCTTGTCCGTGGCGCTTGCGCTGTGTCTTTTTTTTCTTTTTTTGATTTTTTTTTTTGGGGGGGAGGTGGTGTTTTTATCAAGCAGAATTTAAATGGGTCCTTTCCCAGACACGTTAAGGAGAAACCAGGGGGCGAACATTTTGACTTTCTGTTATTTCTAGGTCATCTTCCCGCCCCACCTTCAGCAATCAACCGAACGGAAAACAAGCTCTATAGAACCACGTTTATCAGTTATCTACCACAATTTTACCAATTACCAACCTTGACCTTTCCATGCAGATATTTATAATTTTCAAGTTCTTCTTCACCACATAATAGCCCACTAAATGGACACCACTTAATTATTAAAAGGATGGTGTTCATCTGGCCTGAACAAAATACACCCTCGGTCCGGGAGTAAATATAGGAAATGTTTACGCAGGCCGGAGGAACATCTCAGCGAGATGCCTCCACAAACTCCCCGGAGAATCTTCCACACTTCCGGACAGAGTATCTCAACAAATCCCCAACCCGGAACGAAACGAGCCTAATTCCCCGATGACTTTAGAGATTTTAATTAAAAGGCGATTGTAGTCGGACGATAGCCGGCTGAATTATGAAGTGGACTGATGTATGCCTGATTGAGTTGACACTAAGCGTTAAATTAAACAAAACGAGAGGACGTGGGTTTAAAAGATTTTTTGATATAGGTCAGCGAAATCTTTCCTACTTCGCCACTTTCTATTAACTACGAAGCGAGTCAAGGCCGGTTACCAGTGAACCATAGCTAAACTTTTAGCTTTCCTTATATAAACTATTTCCCAAGTTTCAACCAATCACAATACAGCAATTTAAATTTATTGTACAATGTATACTCTGCGCTTTTTGACCATGGCACTTTAATGTTAGAAATGAATTGCTATAATTTTAAGCATCAGAAAAGTTATGGATTTTTAAGGCATCGCGCCATGGTGCGGCACGCAAGTGCGAACAAACGGCAACCGGCAATAGATTGTCTACAATCGATATAATCACTAATCGACATCAACATTCGACGATCCACAATCGACGATGAACAATCGTCAATCAACAATGGACTTGCGACAGAAATAAAATTTAGGAGCGTCCGCTCTTTTTTACCCGGACGGAATTCAATTCTCGAGAAAAAAAAAATCCCAATTCAATATTTTTTTATACGATTTCCAATTTGAAAACGTTAAACCCGCGCAAAAGAAAGTTAATTCTAAAAACAAAAGTGTGTTATCGATTTGGACATGTAATTGACCGGAATGCCACACCCAAAAATCATAAAGTTTATAAGGAGTTAAGTGAAATCCTCACCAGTTCAATGACTTGTGTGATAAGAAGGCGGTGAATGACTGTGGTCGTGTGCGTGATGTTATAGACCGGCCGGACTGTGCTGGGTCCGTACTCAGAGAGAAGCTTCTCAAGAAGAGCTGACTGGGTACTCATCCTCTGGTCAGATCCTAGAAAACCAAAAAACCATACAAGAAGGTTATTTTAAAGATTCCAGGAACGCATGTACATTGTATTTTATTTTATTTTAATTTATAAGGCATCGGGACTCCAGAAAACAGCATAGCTATTTTATAATGTTTTCGGTGGAGGGAAAATCTATTGTGAACAGTATTATTTACACCGACATTATAAACGCTAAGGCCTTTCAAACTACATGCAGGCCGATACAATCTTCACGCATGGGTGCCGCCAGGATTTTTCCAGAAGGGGCAAAGCCCATTTCTCCCCAAATCCCTATATTTTCCAGCATTTTCCCGATTGATCATTTATTCGAGGGTGGGCAGGGACATTCCCCCCCCCCCCCCATCCATTGAATTAACAACAATAAGGTTCTGTGCCTCTTTTTTCTCCTTTTTTTTTTGGCAAGCGCCCCCCCCTTGCCCCCCCGCCCCCTTGCCCCCCCGCCCCCCCCCCTTGCCCCCCCCCCCTTGCCCCCCCCCCCCCCCCCCCCCCCCCTCGCGACGCCTATGTCTCCGCGTTGGACAAATCAAGGGAATTGTCCATGCAGCAGGCATTGCACCTTCCTTCCGGGTGAAAACAGCGAGCGCCATGCAGAAGTGTGACATTGAAATGGGATTAAATTAAAAATGGAAAGTTGTTGCTATGGGTTTACCTCCTTCAAATTGTTCGCCTGCATGCACTATGTGGTACACTGTGATGCATTATAACACGCAGGAAATTAGAAAAAACGAAGGCCTTATTCTAAGAGGTACAATGGGAAATAACGATACCTTCAACTAATCGAACGCCTAGCTGCTAAATTGCCTCGACCTCGACTGTAAATTTATTTTAATTAAATGTATATGGTCTAGTAAGATTTGCCTGGAAATTGTTTCAATTTACTCGCAGCTCAGAAAAGATGATAATTTATAAATCATTGGTGTCCTGATTCCGCAATCCAAGCATGGCATAGCCGATCAGCAACTTCGATTAAATTGCACGCACCCCCCCCCCCCCTCCGAGTATCACCCGTTATCCACGGAGCCAAGTCTCCTGTATAACGTCTGATTATGTCTAAAACATGCAGATATATTTTAATGCAAGCCGCGTGCCAGCTAGTCTGGTACCCACACCAAAAGATTCTGACTTTTCCTGATGACGTGAATTAAAATAAATTATACGTGATCGTCGTAATAATTGTCAGGTCTGGGAACCACACTACGTGTCAGCCAATAGACTAATAATATTGTCAAGTCTGGGAACCACACTACGTGCCAGCCAATAGACTATTTTCATGTTGCGGCCATCTTAATGTTTTTCCTTTCAAATCAATGTAACCAAAGCGAGGCTGGATGGAAAAATAGACTGGTTCCTTTTTGCACAAAAAACCCCACACCATTCAGTAGTGTTGTTGGGTACAGGGAACAAGACCGAAATGGTGGCAGCATGATAAAGGTCTATTGGAGTCGACTTTGCTAAAATCGTAACGTCATTTCATTCCCAAATCAGGCCTAAATCTGTGATTGGTCAATGCAACAACAGCCGCGCGTGTACGTGTCGTGTAACATAATCGCGCGTGACCAAAGTTGTCTTGCCTAATTACATAAACTACCCTTCACCCCCCCCCCCCCCCCCCCCATCAAACAACATATTACACTGATATATGTGGGTAGTGTATGTAGCACAGAGCGCGGGAACCTAAACATGTACAGACTGCATTTTCTCATATATTGCTATACATTAGCAACCCACTCGAATTTATTACGTGGTTCCAAGAACGACATTTTTTTTTTTCCTGGTATAAAACCCCAGCGGACTAAAATACAAATAGGCCTAAAGCAACAAGGCCAATTTAGAGTATAAAATTTAACAATTGAAATAGTAATGTAAATATGGGTGTAGCAATGTAATTATTTAATATTTTTATCAGTCAAACATTTGAAGAAAACAAGTATGCCTGAATGGTTTATACATGAACATGTGATTAACGATGGGCGGGGCGCTCTTATCCCCCCATGCCTAGCATTTGGCCATGTAGTTACCATGTAGTTACTTTACTTTATCATTGAGTCCTCAATAAATATGATTGATAACCACTAACACAGGTAATACGATTATTATTCCCGAAAAAACGTCTGGCGAAATCCGCCCTAAATACTTTGTATTCCGATACATCACCACGATAATTGTTGTTCTTGTTGAGCTTTAACGTGGCTATTGGCTGTTGTATTGTTTTATGCATGTTGAGACCAATGTTTTTAACATTACACTTCATTGCGAGGATAATCGAACTTCCTACCCAGAATGTCGAAAAAAAAACCTGTGTAGTTTGAGTCATCAGGTAAAGGAAATACTCATTCCCGAACCGTTATATGAATGCAAGTTAATGACAACATATACAATATATTTTACCAGATGTGGAATAAAAACTTTGCACGGATTTCAAAGAATGTCATGAACATATTAATAAACATTCAACAAATCTTTCATTGTAAGGCCGTCAGGGTTTAAATAACCTCAAAGATACCCTTTTGAGACAAATTAAATTTAAAAAAAAGACATTTTCCCTATTTTCTTTCGTGGGAGATAATTTCTAAAAGTGTAAAGAAGGAGCCACATTTTTCCCGCATTCCTTTTCAAATATCTTGACCCCTTGTCTCCACAAACGAAACAGCCCCCAACCCCACCCCAACTCACCCAACCCCGTTCAACCAATCAATGTCCATGAAACAAACCATCAATCAGAAAATACAATAGTTATCCTGATTAAAATATCGATCTTCTAATCAGATCTTTTTACAAAAATGTGTTGAAGGAAAGGCTTACCATTGGGAAAGGTGCTGCAAAGCGCCAGAAGAAGAAACAGCGCGTGGATCCTCGCACGATACACCATGGTTGTCGTTGATGACAGAACTGGGTGAAACACCTCGTTATTTCCTGCTTCCTCAAATCAGTTTGCTTTTAGAAAAGGTTTGAGTATTTCTCCTGCGTGATGCTTCCGTGTCAAGAGGTGGTTTGATCCTTTCCACGTCCTATGATTACTGTTTCAGTTCACCGATGCAAATTAATCACCATGGGGATGGGTTCGCCCGATCCGACGTTAATAAAGCGAGGCTTGTCTACGTCAAAATGAAGCGGTAGGTAAAAGCGTGCCGGTATAATAGCGCATGTAAATATCGCCAGGTTCACGTTTACTTTTTTATGTAAACGTCTTGGTACCAAACACTGATAGTCTAGTCACAGACTCCCGTTGAGTTCACAATGATTCCTTTTATTATATAGTCATCAATTCGCACCGTTTAAAAGCCTGTTTTGCTGTTGTGAAAACATTGCTTCCGTCCACGCCTACTTACACAATAATTTGTGTTAACCAGTCCTGATCCCCCTGTAACACGATCAGGGATTTAAATACTATGCATTTCAACTTCATTTGGAAAGGACACGACCGTGTCGCTAAAAACCAAATGATCCAAGAATATGGTCGGAGGGAGGGGGTTGCGAATGGTTGATGTTCGGGCCCATTTAGATGCTTTTAAGATCACATGGTTACGTAGACTTTTCCAGGCAGAATCCTCAGGTTGGTCTATATTGTGTAATTTTGTTTTTGACGACACTCGTCTGTTTTTATTGGAAGGTGGCTCTGCCAAAATTGCTGGTACACTGCAAAACATTCATAACGCTTTTTGGTTGGACGCGTTTGCTTCATGATCTACCTTATAACTCCGGTCCACGTACCCACAAGCAAAGTGGATGTGCTAAAGAGTTATCTTTGGTTCAATGATAATATTAAGGTCGGTGGGAAGTGTATTTATTATAAACATTGGGAATGTAAACGTGTTGAACTTATTTGTGATCTTATTGACGAGAATGGTAATTTTCTTTCACTCCACGATTTTATGAATACTTTTAACATCCATACCAACACTTTAGAGTATGGTGGGGTGTTGGGAGCTATGAAGTCTTCGTTTTCTCTCATGAATTTCCTCTTTTACAGTTCAATCTTGAGGTACTTTTAAGGAACGAAAAGGGATCGCAATGAATATACAATGCTTTAGTTTCTTCTAAACATGTGAAAAGGAAGTTTGTGGACAAGTGGAACGTTAAACTTAATATCGACTTTGAAACATCGAAGTGGTCTTCAAGTGGATATATTAAACTAAGATGGTTTCAGTTTAGATGTATTCATCGGATCCTGGGCACTAATCTGTGTACATTTTGTAATAACGAAGAGGAGACATTAGTCCATCTTTTCTGCACCTGTCCTTATACTATTGCTTTCTGGTCCTCGGTATCTTCATGGATTAAGGAGAGGACCAACGCATGGATCCTCGCACGATACACCATGGTTGTCGTTGATGACAGGAACTGAGTGAAACGCCTCGTTATTTCCTGATTTCTCAAATCAGTTGGCTTCAAGAAAAGGTTTGCGTATTTCTCCTGCATGATGCTTCCGTGACAAGGGGTGGTTTTGATCCTTTCCACGTAATGTGATTACTGTTTCTGCTCACCGATGTGAATTAATTACCATGGGGATGGGCTCACCTGATCCCACGTTAATGCGAAGCTTGCGTGCCGGTAATATCGCTTGCAAATAATCGCTAGGTTCACGTTAACTTTTTTTATGTAAACGTCTTGGTACCAAACGCTGATAACCCCCTGTGGGGGTTTTCGAAACCTTTGCTTCGGCTTCGGCTTCGGCTTCGCCTCCTACTTCTGAATCACTGAGAGGCAAACAAACTAAATTAAAATATTCCAACCTTTGTCTTCATATCAACCGATTGAATGTTCCTGAAACATAACAGGCACCAAAATGAAGCTGGAGTCCCCGAAGTCGGGGCCTAAAATGTCATGAAGCCGAAGACGAAGCCAAAGCCAGTCGTTTCGAAAACGCTTGTGTACAGACTCCCGTTTGAGTTCACTATGACTCCTTTTACTATTATAGTCATCAATTCGCACCGTTTAAAAGCCTGTTTTGCTGTTGAGAAAACTTTGCTGCCGTCCAAACTTACTTACCTTATGTTGACCTGTCCCAATCCCCTGTAACACGATCAAGGATTTAAAGCCAGAGTCCATCATTTGTTTTAGTTTCTTCTAAACATGTGAAAAAGGAAGTTTGTGGACAAGTGGAACGTTAAACTTAATATCGACTTTGAAATATCGAAGTGGTCTTCAACTTTCAATATTCCTTATTCTGATACTGTGGATATATTAAACTAAGATGATTTCAGTTTGGATTTATTCATCGGAACCTGGGCACTAATTTAGATCAATAAAAAGCCATTCACGAAAACCAAAATAAATAATAATACAATAAATTATAAATGTGAAAAGGGCCTTTAATGTTAAACCCACTGATCACGGTTTCAATCGAATGCCAATTTATTTTAATAATAATAATAATAGTGGATATTTATAAAGCGCATGTATCCACCAGGACTGGTGCTCAAGGCGCTACATCGTTATTACCCCTGCTCATTGGGCACATGAAACATTCCAAATACCATCTCAGCTCCCTGGGGAGTATACAGCTCGATGTAGCCTGTTAGGCGCAAGGAAGCTAATTCAATCACAATAACCATCTCTGCCCTCATAGGTACCCATTTACTCCTGGGTGAAGAGAAGCAATGAGTGACAAAGTGCCTTGCCCAAGGGCACATGCACCATGACCCCGCCAAGACTCGAACCCACAACCTGCAGCTTTACCCGCAGACCACGAATCAGTGCCCTTAACCACGAGGCCACAGTACTCCACAATTAAAAATTATGGAGGGCACACGATTTTCCAGGGGGGGTGTCCCCCTCCCCGTAGCTACGTCGCTGCTTACATTACAAACTGCACCACCTAACCAACGGTTTGGCTGTATATAGTTGCAGTCATGACACTCAAGGTATAGATCTCTGATTCTATGATAGGCAACACCCTCATATTTTCTGGGAATGCACAGATTGCTATACCGCCATACAAATACCGAGTACAAATTCGATATTAATTTCCAAAGCTTTTCAAATAACACAGATTATGGTTTCCTGAAAGTAATATTCTTTTTTTTTTTCGTTAATGCTTTTTGGATATTTCCAGACATATCCGGCGGTAAAAAAACTAAGTTTCCTTCTTCTTGGGTCATGAACCCAAAATAGGGTCGGTCGGAAATGAAAACCAAAGAAGGAAAAGGGGAAGAGATGCCTTTATGGAGAAGATGATGGCACTAGACTCGCATCCGTCCTTCGGCAAGCTCCGTCTCCTTGCGTGCGCTTCCGTCGAGATTAAAGAGGTGGGTATATGAGGCAACAGCAGCGGGGTGAATGCCCGACATCGGTTCTGGTGTGTTAATGTGTTGCATTGTCCTGCTAATTGGTCGGGGATACACTCAACAAAAAGGCAATATTCAATTGGAAGATGCCAAACAAACAAAGACATTGGTCACCATGGTTTTATTTTTGTCTTGTGTAATGAGTACCAGCAGGGGTCGGTAAAATCAGACGGAAATAGTGATTGTGTGCGTGAGCGGTGTACTTTATTTTGCTTCTATTCGCCAATGCCTACAATTTGGTACATAATGTGATGTTGAGGCGCGTATTTGTTTGTATTACTCAGCGGTGTTTAATTACAGACGAGGATTCTTTTCTGAAACAACTGAAAATGAAACACTGCGAACATCTTTTTTGAGAAAAGGCCAGCACGAACCACATCTCTGGCCGTCGATTTAGAATTATGAAATCTAATGCTCTACATAGGCCTCAGGACAAACATCGTTATAATGATTCTCGTGATTCAGTAGACAAGAATCCTTACCTAAAACGGGCAAGCTGTCACTATAATGACCAGTAGATGCAAAATCTACTGGGCAAAGCTCTCAAAATCCTTGTACTTTCTCTAGCATATCCTCAATTTATCTTTTTTTTTCAAGGGTGGACGGAGGGACATTTGCCCACCCCTTCCCCCACTGACACCGCTGCGGATGCCCATGTTGTTGAATATGCATTAAATTAACAGCAATGTGACTTCGCACCTCCTTTTTTTTTTCTTCCTCTTTTTTCCCTCTTTGTGTTTCTTTTTTTTCTTTTCCAGTGGGGGCGTCCCCCTTGCCCCCTCCCCCCACTCGCGACGCCCATGGTGTCAGCAGCCAGATTAAGTAGAGCTGTTTCCTATCCAGAGCTTACTATTGGAAACAAGGTTGGAAATAAAGTAAGCACTGGGGACGAGGTTGGACAAACCCTCCCTCGCGTGCTCGACGGTATAGTGGCCAGACGTCAAGTCTGCATCTGTAAACACTAGGTCGTGGGTTCGAGTCCCATCTGGACATAGTATTGTCAAAACAAAACAACAAAACTCAGTGTACAAAAAAATGCAGTCTTTTCGGCTAAAATAAAGCACGATTTTTAAAGGCATAGGATCAGTTGTTTATGCATTTTGTTCCTTTCTAATACGCCACTCTAAATCCAAAGACGAATGTAAAAACCTAACCCGTTGATGTTTCAGCTCAGTGGATGATTAGGCCTACATTTTTCGAGAGAACAGTGAAAAAGCATGCTGAACCTTTCGACAAAAAAAACGATTTCGTCCACGGTACTTTGGTTTTCCAAAAAAGCAGTCAATAATACTGATCGTTACATTTCTTGATTTCTTTTAAATGACAGCAAACCAAACGGACTAATTTCACGGGGTGTTTAGCACTAGTACGATTTTTAATTATCTATTAGGAAGCTTATAAGCTTTTTGACAAGAATTCGGTAGGTTACTTTTGGGATAGGGATAAATGCAAATGATCCCATTAAAGTCGAGCCAGCGAACGCTAATGAGAAAATGGACGAGACCTTGAACAGCTCATCGGGTTCTTTGTCTCCCCGCGAAGACGCCAAACCTCGTCAGCTAAAGGTCCCATCAATTAATCAGAGAGTTAATGACCACTGTGAGGGTACGGTGAATCAATAGTAAACGCCCTTCAACTGGACATAATTTTCTTGTGACGGTCATTAGTGTTGACGAACCCACACATTAAAATTATAATGAGGTCGCTTACCAAAATGATAAACCTTTCTTTCCTTTGTAATCATTGGGCGCCATTTTGTATGGGCTGCCACAAGGGCATTAATAAGCCGCGGTTAGCAACATATTTTGCCAAAACTTGCATGTTAATAACATCTTCATTAGGCATGTTTAAAAAAGAGGCATTTTTATGAAGTCTTTGGTATTGGTTATTTTGCATTTTCAACAAATCCAGCTACATGTGTCAATTATGTTTAGAAAAAATATTAACTTTTCTTCATATTTGCAACGTTGGCCTTCCATAGTTTGTCATTCCGCGGTTGGCGATAAGTTGGCAACGAAAGCTGCAGGCCTTTACCCAAAGTAAATCCTTTACCGTGCATGGAACCATGAGGTATAGAATAAGCCCTATGGCACAGTTGGCCTACACTTCTTTTGTGTTCCCGATAATAAATGCAAATAATAATACCCGGCCGCTCACAATAGCAACATTATCGGAGTAAAGAACAGTAGGGTTGCAAGATATTTTTTTAGGGGGGCCAAAGTTTTTTGGAAATTTTCCTGCCAACGCTTGTGCATGTCATTCTACGCTTGGGGCGCTGTTCATTATGTATGATGTATATTGATTGATATACATGCACTATAATAATAGTTTTTACCTCACTTTCAATTCAGTAGGCCGACTTGTGAATAAGGCCCATCCCGCATCAGACATTAAAGATGTTCCTCGTGCTATTTTGGATTTCACCTCGAACTTTGTTGTCCCAATTAACATATTCCTAGCAATTTATAAGTTATTCATTTTTGAATGAGACATCGAACGAAAAAATCCACCGACGTTAATTTATAGTTTATATAAAAAATGTTCTTCAGAAATTCGAATTATTGGCTGCCAGACAATAATTTGGCTCTCGTAGTGTTGCAATGCCCAACATCGGAATATAGTAGGGTTTTTTTTCGTTAAAACAAAACACAAAAATTGAAAATTCGTTAGGAGAAAAATACAATCAATTTGTGTGTGTGAAGAGCACGGGATATACTACCTCTTCGTTCCATTGGATATCCGCAGCCATAAGAATTAATAATGACCAGTTGAGTCGTGTACCGACCTTAACGAAGGATAGGCCCGTACCTGTTGGTCAGATGATATAGATGGGACTGATCAACCAATTTATGGTGCTACCGGTTCATTGAAACCAAAGGTTCAAATCATCCATCTTTGGCCAAAATAGACTTGCCTCTTAGTGTCCAACCGGATATTGCTGTCACTCCTGCGGTGGCAAAATTAAAATGTGATAAAGAAAAGTCCTTTAGGATTGGCGCATGGCACCTGTAAGTTTATTCCAAAAGAACCGAAAATATATTGAGACACCTGTTTTTTTATTCATTTATTTTTGATTTTTGTTCTATTTCATTTTTCTTTTTTTTTCTATTTGCTATGGAGGGCTCTCACTGACCCCCGTGACCCGGCCTACAGTCAGCGTCGCCATTGTAGTAGGCAATGAATTCACGGTTATTTTACACGGAAGTACAGTGTGACTCACGGGTTGCTATTAACAAAACTCTTGCTTACTGCAATGGTGGCTAATGGTCACGTTGCACTGGCGTGGCGTGATTCTGAAAAGAAGCGGTTAACTCGACGTCTTTTTTTAGTTGGATTGGTGTGCCTTGTTCTTCTCGGGCTTTCACACAAAAGTCACCGAAAGATACATTCTGACGAAAAGTAGACAGCAGTCTTAATTTTTGCAATGACATAAAGTTAATTACACATACCTGTCTGGTCTGATGAATAATTTTAAATTTGTGATTAAACATCCCCCAATGTTTTAAGCCACAAATAAACAACAGCTAGAGGTTCGCGTTTGTTGAGTTACAAACGTAGAGTGGTCGGGCTGGCAAATGTTCTTGTGTTTACAGTGACTTAATCATAATTTAACTGCACATTACCCCTCCCATTTACCTTGCACCCATTACCCTGGGTTTTTCACAAAGAAAATCACACAACCTGCAGTTTAACTTGTTGCTTTACCTCGACACGACGTGTAGGCCTATCAAGAAGCGCACATCTGGTGCTGCATGGATGGCTACTCAAGCATATAACCAGTTGGGACTATTGGTAGAGTTAACGAAGCCTCTAACGTCGCTGGAGTTTATGCAATAGAATTATGCTAATCTTAAAATTAAACGGCTTGTTTTGGTTTTTTTTTTGTCTTTTGCATGGGCATAATACAATTCTGCTCTAAGGTTACGACATTGGTAGAATTGAAGGAGCGTCTCACGTCGTTAGAGCAAGGGCGGATCCAGAACACAATTTTTGGGGGGGCCAAAAAAAAAATTGGTCGCCCAAAAAAGTGGGTCAAAAAATTACGGCGTGGGGTTCGGGGCCCGCTTAAGGGCCCCGAAAATCTTTTGGATTCTAGATGCTCTGTGGTGCGATCTGGGGCAATTTCTGACCACTTTAACTCATGTTTTTTTGAGGAAAAGATGGTGGTGTACTCATTGCCTGCCTTTATTGCGATGTCACATAAAAAAAAAAAATGGTTTCGTTTTTTTTGGGGGGGGGGGGCATGGCCCCTTTGCCCCCCCCCGGATCCGCCCTTGCGTTAGAGTTTACGAAACATAATTATGCTAATCTTAAGATAAAACAGCCTTTTTTTTTTTTGGTCTTTTGCATGGGTATAATAAAATTCTGCACTGAATTTATGACAACGGTAGACTTGACGGAGCCTCGAACGTCGTTGGAGTTTATGCAACATATTGTTGGCTGCTTTTTCCATTATTGTGACCGTATGAGGGCGCACTTCCCCACGTTCGCTCGATCTCTGGATTCTTGCACACGAGCTCATTAATATTTTGTGATTCCACAGATAATTTTGTATATTATACAAATTATCTGTGGGATCACACTATATTAATGAGCTCGTGTGTAAGAAGAGGTCCTTCTGGCCTATGTACTTGGGACAGATTGAAGAAATAGTTTTGAAGATCAAGCATTTGTGACTTGTGGCTTCAAACTCAGGAGATTTAGCTCACAAAAATGCCCAAGATGTGGTCCTAAATTTTAACATCGAGGCGGGGATGGGGGGCACTATATGACCCAAGTCAGGTATTGGCAACAGTTTTAGAAGTGGTATGGGGGAGGGGAATACAAAAAAATCGATTGGATGTATTTAGTAAAGCTGAAAAGAAAATTGACCTGGAGGTCGTAATCTTTAGTTAACGTTCGAAGCGAATTAAAAATCATCGCTGGCCTTGCTCATGAGTACGAGTGCTGGCAGGTGGCGCTATTGCTGTTCGAATTTGTGTTGTTTCCTAATAACGCTTTTTTTTATGGGCGTCGCCAGGATTTTTCCGGGGGAGGGGGGCAAAGCAAATTTTTCCCCGAAATGCCTTAACTTTTTCATTATATTTTCAAGTTATCATTTTTTTCGAGCGTGAGCAGGGGAGCACTTGCCCTCGCCCCCTCCCCCATCAAATTAACAGCAATATGGCTTCGCACCTCTTTTTCCTTTCCCCCCTCTTTTTTTCCTTCTTCTTTCCCCCGTTTTCCAGGGGGGAAGCGCCTCCCCCCCCCTTGCCCCCCCCCCCCCCCCTCGCGACGCCCATGCGCTTTTAATACATTGGAGCGGAACCTGTAATTTTTCTGGTCAAGAGATTTTTGCATTAGGATGGGTTTAAGGAGGGGCTTTTACCGAATGATGCAAACAGTTATAAATGTGGTAATATTTGTTTCCTTTTCTTCATTTACAGCCTACAACGTCTCCACCTAAGGATCTGTAATTTCTGCAAAAATACCTAGGGGCCACCCCCCCCCCAAAAAAATGAATAAATGCAATTAATAAATTAATGAAATAAAACAAAAGAGGATTAACCAAACTTTCAATCCGACTTGTATCTGGCTTGCAACACGTCAGGTGCGAGTATTTTTTCCCCGTTTCTTTGGAAAGAAAATAAATTAAATGGCCTGGTATGCATCCTGTGGTATAACATGGTGGTGCATGAAATCCTTTTTCTCACGTTGGTTTCGGGACATAAACACTTATTTTTCGATCTTGAAATCTGCACAGAAGAGGCAGATCACGGTTTGGCTTCAAGCGGAGGTGGTGGGGGGGGGGGGGGGTAGCTGTGTACGCATGCGTGCAGAAGGTACGCCCTCTCCAGGGAGGTCCGGGAACTGAGGCACGTTCCGTGGGAAGAAACGTTGGGATGTATGCTTTCTCTTGCATTCTGTGGCGTATAAAGTTAATACGTCAAAAGTTTGAGCTCACCTTTTTATATTTCACTGTTGTGTCGGGCTACTGGTATTTATTTTTTATATTATTCCTCTTATTTCTTTCTTTCATATTTTTGCCTAAGGCCCTGGGCAGGCGCGGTTCTACGGGGGGGCTAGGGGGGCTGTAGCCCCCCCAAAATTTTGTCTAGCCCCCCCCCCCCAAATAAATGCCGTAAAAAAAAATATATTGCATTAACAAAAAGGAGGATTGTGATGTACATGCGAACGGTCTCCCCCTAAAGAAGAAATAGCCGTGACAAGGGTGCATTAGTTAATATAGTGCAAGGGCGGATCCAGGAGGGGGGGGGGGCCAAAGGGGGCCATGGCCCCCAAAACGAAACCATTTTTTTTTATGTGACATCGCAATAAAGGCAGGCAATGAGTACACCACCATCTTTTCCTCAAAAACAATTTGTTAAAGTTGTCAGAAATTGCCTCAGATCGCACCACAGAGCATCTAGAATCCAAAAATTGTTCGGGGCCCTTAAGCGGGCCCCGAACCCCACGCCGTAATTTTTTGGACCCACTTTTTTGAGGGACCAAATTTTTTTTTGGCCCCCCCCCCCCAAAAAAAAACAAATTGTGTTCTGGATTCGCCCTTGCTATAGTGTGAATGATTTTAGGATTTTATTGGCGCTCCCCATTGAAAATATGGCATGAGCTCCGCCCCCCCCCTATTGATTTTCGGAGGCCTAAGTGTCTGGAAAAAATAACCGGTCAACATTTCAGCACGCCTCCCTGAAAAAATTCTGGATCCACCGTGCTAGCCCCCCCAAAATATTGGTTTTAGAACCGCGCCTGGCCCTGGGGGGGGGGGGGGGGGTTAACAAACAAAAGCCACTACTAGACAGTGCCCACATACATGTCCCATTATTCCGTTGAACTGTTATTTTCTTTTTCTTAGAGCCGTTTACAAATTTGACACAATCTCTGCGATTCTTTCAGTACATGAGGATTGATAGGGGAAGTGGGGATCTCGTGTTTAACACTTTTTAATTTGTTTTTCTGTCGCTTTCTGCACAACATGAAACATTGTAAAGCCATCCCTGCTTAAATGTTAATGAAAAATATTAAACTTTAGCCGTGGTCCGGTTCTAGTGTTGGAAAGATTTTAGTCTAGCGCCCTCTCTAGTCCAGTGTCGAAATTATCACTTTGTGATTGTGCTGTACTAGTGTGCATGCAGCTGTTAAATATTTAGCGCACACAAGCGAAGTAGATAGAGCGGGCGCCGGGTGTGTATATCGCGGATTTATATCGTTTCACCTTGTAAATCAAAGTCTCGAAACACCGGTTTCCATCATGTAATCAGAGGTCAGGAAGGCCAGTATTGTCAGTGAGGATTTGGGAATGTCGAGAAGTAAATCTGATTTGATTTCGATGGGGTCGGGCGTTGGAAAGGCCCGGTGATAAGTGGACGAGATGGCAGAGAATGGGACAGGTGAGCCGAGTACAGAACGCTGTATGGCCGGCCGGCTGTACATGTGTGGTGTTTGTATCACAATTTTGTGTTTGTGTTGGGTCTCGGCCTGTTCGATCCAGATTTTTGTTGCTTTGGTGTATTACCTTGTAATGTTGTATAATGTTATTTGTGAATTGCAGTTTTAATAGAAGATCGTTTGGACCAACATGATATGTTGATAATATAATCATAGTTAATAATGTATTCATTTATCAATGTGTTTATTAATTTGATAGTTCCTAATTCCATATTCACCCTAAATTCAAGTAAACATGAAATAATATTATTGCAGATTTGCATGGAGAAATCAGAGCAAAAATTAATAACCTTACCCAAAAGAATTTGTAACTGTGTGCATTTTACTTTTTTAGTCATGGAACTTCATTGGAAGGCTGTAATTTTAGTAAATTTTTGCAAGGAAGACGTTACTTTAATTTACTATTTTACATTACAAAGTAACAATAACAAAATTGAAAGAAGTGTTAGAATTGTATATTTGAAATATCCTTTGATGACAGGTTAGACAAACTAATGAAGTTTCAATTTAAACCAATATATATTTTGTACAAATGATTCACTAAAAGAAAAAAAAGGCCCTCTGCACATACAGTGAAAAAGTAAATTTTGTTTTGGGTCATTTCCTGTCCAGTGCTGTAATGTTTTGAAACTCGATAAGTTTGAAGTCATATCAGATGAAGTGATCTGACGGCATGTACAGTATGCACATCCTTCCTATTGAGATATAAATCCGGGTAATTGTGGTTTGATCAACTTCCAGTACTAGGAAGTGATACCCTACGATGCTGTGTACCATACTGCGAGCATTCAGTTTATTAAAATTTGTCATGCATGAGGTACCACACTACAGGAGAGCGAAGTGTTCATGATTAGAAAATTGGTGACATTGTTACACCCCAACTATTCCATAGTCCTCACTGCTTTCCTTCTTGTTCTGAATATCGTAGGAATAGCATCAGGTCAAAGCCTGTAGAGCCTTTTCAAGCCATAGGCCTAACTGTCGAACATCCCTTCTTCGATGCTCAAAGCATGATTCTTCAAAATACGCACTGCACAAATGAGAATCTTTTGACAGGTCAAGCTATTTGGCCCACACCAGTGGTCAGCCACACCATTTGAATCCCAAAAATATGGGTCCAACCTCACTTTCCGGGTCCAGTAGCAACACAACGGCATGGCATTATCAATGAAAAACTTTTACAAAACACTGGAAACGTTCTCGACCCAGTGAAAACACAAGTACATGTCAATGGTGATGGACAGCCCTAAAGCCGGCAGTACGCTGCATGCATATGGCCGGTCGTGTTCACAAGATGACGTCATGGAGGAGTTACCACTTGATGGGTGGGGCTCGCCTCCTCTTGACTTTAAAACCTTATTTTAAAATGCTTACGCAAAATACAAAATAACGAGACACACAGTTATGTTTCAAAGACTTTATTTTGAACATCGAAATACACAAAAAAAAAATCATTGTACCTTCAGTTTACCCTTTAAGTTGGGACCGTTTCAAATAAACTTTTTTTTGGACCGATGGTCTAGTTGCGGCACAACAAACTCATTCAAGTGTGGCACTCTCAATTCCCTGTGTTAAAATTGGAAACTGTGTTAAATTTGGAAACTTTTTCCTTTTTCTCACATTTTGCAAAAATGCAAAAAATGGCATGTCTTTAAACATTTACTCAGATTGATATTTTATATACAGTGTAAACTTATTAACAGCCCAAATGTTGCTGCTGTGTTGCAAACATTTGCCATAGCTTGTGAGTCTTCTTACACTAACATATTTTCTTTCACCATTAGCTCATTCACTTAACATGTAAATGAATGGGCTCCATTGGAAAGCAAAGTTTTAACTGAAATGGACTACCCAGTCCTTCTGATTTGAAAATCACAGGCGTGTGGGAAAAAGGCACACCTATATTTTTTCTAGGTGTGTGTTTTTTTCTAGGTGTGTGGTTTTCTAGGTGTGTGATCTGTGGTCCAGGGAAATTCAGGCGTGCAATTATTCACACTTCTCCGGAAGCTTTTAGGTGTGCGATGGTGTGGGGGGGGGGGGGGGGGGAGGGGGTGTGATCGCACACCTCAAATCAGGACTGACTACCCTCATAAAAGATTACAATGACTTAAATGTATCAGAAGTCAGAGGGAATTTAACAAATCAGTAGGATATTTCCAAATTTTTTGGAGCATATTTTCATAATATAAGGATGTAAATTTTACCGAAATAATATAGGCCTATTTTTGCCCAAGTTGCTGAATCATTTTCTGTCTTTCTGAGTTCATGAAGCTCTTCGTCATGATTCATGGTCTGTGATTAATGCAAGCACATTGAGTTCCTGGGCTCGGGCCGAGAATATTCCCTAGTCATAAGGGAGTGGCCCCTGACTGTAAGGAAGGGCTTTCCCAGTCTCAGGAAAACTCAATCCATTTAGGATCCGATCACTTACTGGCCAAGTGACATCACCGCTCCCTGCTCTCTGAAACTGAAAGATTTTCCGAACATTACAAAGAGGTCCTACTGAAGACTGAAGTATATAATCCAAGAAAAAGTTTGAGCAAGAACTATGGTTAATCATAGTTTCACTAAACTTCACTGAACACGTTAGTTGATTATTGTTGGACTAGTCTACATGTAGGCCTACGTCGTTGACTAAATGACCCAGAAGGTTAGTAGCATTGTTTGTTATCAGTAGCCATCATTATGTGCACTAGAGAGCGGAGAGTGGAGAATTTATGATGACATTTTACAGTATTTCAACCAAAGTTCATTCCAAATTTGCTGGTAGTGTGCAGGGGCCAATTTCATAGAGCTACTAAGCACAAAATTTGCTTAAGCACAAAAACGTCTTGCTTAATAAAATCAGGTTACCGGCCAAAACTCCATGCGATTGTTATGCTAAGTACATGTAAACAACAGCTAAATACCAGTCACAAGCAATGTACATCACATGGAGTTTTGGCCGGTAACCTAATTTTACTAAGCAATTTGTTTTCGTGCTTAAGCAAATTTTCTGCTTAAGCAGCTCTATGAAATTGGGCCCAGGAGTAAGTAGTTAGCACAAGCCCGAATACATTGGTTCTTGATCGAGCTGCTGCGATCCGATTGCTGAAATCAGTTCCATTTGACAACACGCACATTGACCTTTTTATTTCATCAGCGAAAACTGTAGAACTAGAAGGTCTCATGATCAAAAATCTAACCTCTGGTCTTATCAGCCGTGAATGAGTTTGTTTTGCAGCCGTGACATGATTATCAAAGTATCATTATCACACTTTGGAATGCAAAGGTTACGGTCATGTTTGCTGTACACAGTTTGTTTTGCTTGTGTGTCCCTTGTTTGTACTTGTGCGTTTCTGTACCACTGTCATTTTGAGAAAGGTTCTACTTGGGATCAAAGTTTAAGGCCCTCTAATTTTGCTTTGCTTTATTTTATTTTTGATATTTGTTTTACTCGATATGGTATTCTTACGTGCCTGTTTACATGTTCACTTGTAGTTGGTGTGAATTAATCAGTTAGGCTATATTCAATTCCATAGGTTGTGGATAAGCGGCGCTGTGGCGATACAACAACTGTGTCTGGGTGTATCTATAGGCAAAACATCTGGAAGCATCATAATAGGTGAATGGGAGTTTTGGCCACCCTGCTTGGGACACGTCTTTGTTCAGCTTCGTCACGCTTCTGAACAGGACCTCCATGCTTCAATGAGCGCTACAATCAGCATTCTCTGGACTCTTGACAGGGGTTCGGTACAACAGAGAGTTGGTCAAGCAATAACCCAATTAACACACAGTGATTGTGTCTGCATTCATTGATCTACCAGTACAACCTACTACACACCCTCTTCAGTGTCTTCTAATACTCAACTGGTTCATTTCTGGACCTGAAAGGGCCCCCCAGTTGTGCAAATTAAAACTGTGCCCCAGTGTGCTAGGATCTGGCCTGGGATTATCTCTTAATACAGCTTGGTGATAATTCAGATTATTAAGTGACGACAATACGTTTTGCTGCCACACGCCGAAGCGCCTCTTCACTGATCAACTGGAACTGCTGACATGCGGATGCTGGTCAACGGTCGGTGTGCTGTGTGCAGTCAACTGTCCTAATGACGATGTTTCCTGCTGCTTTGGATGCATGTGTGTATGTCGGTGTACGGAAATTCACAGAACCACAGCTAGTGATTCAGTGTTGTTGAAAATAAACAGAAACATTCATTTATTTTACAGCAAAGAATTCTGCAGTTTAAACATGGTTTTGGGAGAGCTGAAGACAACAAGCGACAAGAAGACGGTAGACCACCTTCTACATCTACTCTGAACTCTAAAGCTATTTTTTGACCAGCAACCCTCACCAGACTGTAACTTGTTTTGAATTATGAACTCTCTGCAAAGTCTCGGTCGGGATGGCTCCCGCACGCCGGACTTCGAAGACCCGTACGACTCGCGCTACGAGACCAAATGGGAAGCGACCCCAATCAAGCCCTTCAAGACCCAGAATGAGTACCTGTACGCGATGGTGGAGGACCTGGCCGAGTGGCTCAACAACCTCTATGCCCTGGAAACCAGCCCGGACAACTTCTTTGAGAAGTTGGAGACGGGCGCCGTGCTCTGCCAGCACGCCAACAACATGCGCCGGGTGGCCATCGAGTACCGGCAGATCCACGGCGCCAATGAGAAAGACATCGTCATAAACGACAATGACATCAAGTTCCGTTTGGATGCCAAGGAAGGGTCCTTCAATGCCCGAGACAACATTAGCAACTTCATCTCGTGGTGTCGGCACTGCCTGAACATCAAGGATGTCTTGCTTTTTGAGTCGGACGACCTGGTGCTGCGCAAAAACGAGCGTAGCGTCATCCTGTGTCTCCTGGAGGTTGCGCGACGGGGAGGCAAAGTCGGCATGCCCGTGCCGCTGCTGGTGCAATTTGAACAGGACATTGAGCGTGAGATCAATGCTGGCTTGATGGAGCGCACATCGGAGTTCGGCGTCCACTCAGAAGCCGACTCAGAACCGTCCGTCGAGCCAGCCTCCCCTACCAGCTCAGCCACCACCACCGACATTGATCATGAGCTGGGCTCGGGCTCGGACGCCGACCATGAAATGGACTCACAGCGATCTGAATCCCCGGACCTCAGCAGTCTAAATGGCATCAACCATAACAACAACCCGTCCTCCATTCCGTCCCGGATGCGAAAGGGAAGTAAGAAGTCGCGTCTGCCGAAGCCCTTGCCTCAACAACCTCGGTCTCGCGGAACAGATGGGTACGGGAATGCTGACATTGATGCGATATCTGAGCAAGATCTAGGCCCACCACCTCAGGTCATGTTGGAGCCAGAAATACTCAAGTCTCTTCATGAAAGGGTGAGTGAATTTTGTGTTTTTTGTTTTTTGTTTTTCTTTCCAGCTGTATTTTCTCATCCAAGACCAATTCATGTACATTGACTTTGAAAGATATCAAAATCAATTTTTTTGTAACTCTTTTTTGTTAAAGTTTCTTTCCCTGGCAGGTTTTATTGTATTTTCTCATCCAACACCAATTCACGCAGGTATACATGTACCCACATTGACTTAGCTAATGAAAGATATCAACATTGTGTGGTCTTAAAAACTGTTTTTTGGGTTTTTTTGAACTCTTTTTTTCATTGCAGTAGTTGAATTGACAAATATTTCCAACAGGTTTTCTTGCAAAATGACATCAGTTAAAATCCCTATTCCATCGGCTACCACAGCCTCAGACAGATATTTAAACTGTGACAAGACAGTGTTACTATGAGGGGGTTTTGGCACAGTACAGTTCTGTGCAGGAAAAGGAAAGATCTTCTAAAGATCAGAGCAGAATTTTAAAACGAATTTAAATTCCTGAATTTTACCTCGTAATATGCCAAAGAACTTCCTGTAACCATTGAGGAATTTGTATTCCTCCATGCTGCAATACTTGATATTGTACATGGAAGGAATTTAAGAATTGTGTTTTTTTTTTTGAAAGAGAAAACACAACTCCACAGGACAAACAGAACAACGACATATGGAGCAGACTTCAAAACTATCAACAAAACCAAATTATGCTCAAGTCAAATTTCATCGTTCGCTTGTTCCATATCAATTCCATAGGTAATTGAAGTGCTATGTGAATATGGGATCATACAAATATAAAAACAACAGTAGGCCTACCCGAGACGATGAAGTGAAACCCAATAGACGAGACTAGTTGGTGTTATATTACCTTGGCAACAGATCTGATGGGAGTTGGGACTTAAGATGCTTATAATTTGGGTTTGTCTTATAATTTGGGTCTGTGCCACCTGCTGTGACCCTGGGGGAACGACTTGGCGTCATCTGGGTGTTGTCTCCAACAGTTTTTAATAATAAGACCTCAGACTTCAATGTCAGGCTTATTGGGGTGCATCTACCGCTTTCAGTTGAACAGATGTTAAAATAGAACACTAAATTGCATTTTTTTTTGTGAGCTTGCTGAATTGCATGTGATGGTTTCAATTGCATCGTGGGATCAAATTTCCAATAACATAGATCATGTGCAAGGCTAGTATTTCAGATATTTCACCAGTAAATATTTTTACTAATTTGAAAAACACACATTGCCACTTTTCAAATGAAAAAAAAGACAACACTCATTTGAGAAAAGTTTACTGTATTTCATGTATCATGTGCTCTGTAAGGAGGTAATAAGATGAGCACTCAATTTTGTCACAGGACTTGAGATATGTTACATACCCGTAGTATTTGAAATTATTAAGTAAAAATTATGAGTACAAACAACCACTAGACAGATGGTCAAAGTGAGCAAAGAAAGCACAAGACTAGTGTTGAAATCACTAGAACCTGCAGCAAACAAAGAACAAACTCATTCCAGCTGCATCGTGAGTATTTTCAAGCCCTGCTCCCCCCAATAAAGATATTCACACTGCTTTAACAACCTGTTCTTTACTTGGCTGTTACTGTACTTGCCAATAAATTACAGAATCTGATTATCCACACAATACAGGCTTAATCCGTCCCACCTGTCAGTTGAATAAACTTTTCAGCAAACAAAAGTTGGAAAATAATCTGCATGCAAGCCGAGATTTTAGTCTCACTACCCCTTGTGAAGAAAAATGGTAAAAAATAATTGTAATGGATGTAGAGTTCTGTTGTTTCTGGCGCCGGATATTCTATAGGTGGGGTTGAGGGTACAGGGTACAACAGGTCAGAGAGTTGGACCGTGGGATGGGTTTTTTTTGTTCAGATGAGAATGTATTTTGTTACCAAATTTGTTCAGGGTCAGGGGTTTTCCTCAGGATAATTTGTTGTTTTGTTGCAGTGGAGTTTAAAGGAGGCCTATTTGGACAAGTAAAACAGTGTGGAAAATTACTCAGGAGTGCTGGTATATCGATGGTTTTGAAATATGATTACAGTTCTGTGAATTGTCCAAAACAAATTAGGGTGAGGTGTACATCATGTATGTTGGAGAAAGTGTTAACAATTTCTCTCTGTTTAGGAGTGCACAAAGGTATCGGAATATGTACAATGTGTACATGTAATTTATGCCTAAATCTGTTTCTCCTACCCCCACGCCCATTTTTGTTTTGCAATTTCAAAACTTGGTTTTTTTCCTCTGGCATTTGAAATTTGCTGTTGTTGCCATGCCAACATTTTACCTTGAACTTCGGATGAAATGTACATGTAAGTGTTAGTTTAAAAAATCTACTGTATTTGCTTGATAGAGTTAAGAGTTTGTCCTATCCAAATAGAACGATTGAATGTAAAAATGTCAATAAAGGAAGCTATAATACTGAATACCTACGGTATACCGTAGCTGGAGCAGAGGAGTTGTCAACCTCGTCCCCAGTGCTTACTTTATTTCCAACCGCGTTTCCAATAGTAAACCCTGGATAGGAAACTTTCTTCCTGTATCCTGATTGGATACCGCAATTGGCTAGTAATGGATTTTTATCGTGTACTTGGTGCTATATATTCACAACGTGCAGTACGTGTTTTCGCGATCATTCGTCCACGCCTTCTCGAAAATACTAATTTCCTTTCCAATTTGCTCATATTGATATGAAATATGATACTGCATGTTGTCTCGATAAGATCGTAACAGTTTGATTTCAAAAATCGTGTTTTCGTAACTCACGCCGTGCTCGCGCTGCTACGAATTGACTCTGTTTTTACCCCAGACACCGCATACAAAAACAAACGCTAATGTGTAACGCATATCCAGGCACCAGACTGTTCCTCATTTGCATACGTGTGCAAAAATCTTGCACATGCAAATGATCCAATACCAGGGTGAGAGAGCAGGTAGTGGTGGGCGCGTACTGCTCGACACCCTGGGGACGAGGTTGAGGAGTTGTGGACACAGAGGACCGGCGATCTGAAGGTTTATGAGTGTCAAGTACAAGGAACCAAGGGTGCAACCTTAGGGCCGGCCATGCAGTCCAAGGTAGTTCGTTTGTTATCAGTCTGTTATTGCAATAACGACCACTGGGGGGAAAACAGGGGTAAGCAAACAAGAAAGGTGTGAAGCCAAACAATAGCACAGAATGGCCGTCCACTGGGAGTCAACATGGACTCTGGCTTGTGCAATGGTCCATTCAGACCATTTAAGGACAATTTTTATTATTTTTTTTTTCTTCAGGAAATGGTTTGTTTGCAGACCCTCATGCCAAGAGTTAAGTACACCTGGCATTCAGCCAACTTTGATATCCCCCCCCCAGTTTGTGAGGGAGAATGTACATTGTAGAGTAGGCAGTGGTTGACCTTTGATCAGGGGTCATGGGTTTGCGTTTGCCCTCTGAACTTGACTTGTCTGTGTGGGTCCTCTTCATTGATTTTCATTATCTGTTCTCTCCCCTAGAGCTTCATCTGTCTGTATTTGAATTGCATTATGGAAGTCCTTGGCATAATTTTGTTCAAACCCCCCCCCCCCCCTCCCAACATAGTGGAAGAAATCATCTTTTGAAATCTGTGGAGCATCTGTTCAAGTTTTATTTTGAAGTAAATCCATTTACATACATGTATAAAAGTATTATAAAAAAAAGGTCACTACTTGAAATGTTGAACCAAACATCATGGCATCAAATGTATATATTTTTTCCCAGCCAAATTCAAAATGGTTGATATCTTGCTGTCTGAATTCCGTGTCTGTTTCTGTTTTGAAATTTAATATTTAAGTTCATGCCTATCAACATCCATGATATTATTTTAAACAAATCATATCAAAACCAAGCAAGCCCAACCTTTATTAAAAAAAATCATAGCCTTGGGCTTATGATTTTTTTTTTAAGCACCCCTTGCAAACCACCAGTATACATTTATCCCTGACCCTTTCTCGTTCCCCTGGGGTTAAGTATCCTGTTCTACCCACCAAAGTGAACCATTCATATTCTCTTCATAGACACTTTGAATGGGAGTGAATTGATATTTTGACAAGCGGCTTGCCCTGGGGCAGTACAACCAAATTCTGTATTCAGATGGCTTGCTCTTGAAAAACATCCCCATACAAAGATGATTGTTGTAACTGTGTTCAAAAGGAGTTTAGTGCATTAACCCTCCAGTGACAAATTTGTTCTTCGCAGTTCCCGTGGGAGTTGTTGGGTTTGTCTTTTAATTTGCCTTCCTGTCTCATCAATGAAGTTTTGTAAGGGTGTACTTGTAGCCTTATTCCCAGACAATAACTGCCCATGCTTGCCGGACTAATACATACATGAAAGTGTTATTGCCAGGAATTTGTGGTCAAGTGGTTAAGAGGAGGTGTCATGTTTCTGTGAATGAAGTTTGCACTTGGGGAGATATTTTCCCCTTTTTATAAATTATTTTAAAGCAATTTAAAGTTGTAGGCCTGCTTGTATTAAAAGTGCGTGTATCTGTCCATGTATCTGGGCAGTTCCACAATGTCAGATGAACATTTTGGATAAATCAACAGAGTGCGTGATAAAGTTTTAATCGAAAAGTGGATTTTATTTGTTATAAAATGTATCGATCAGTTACTGAACTACAATGATTTAAAAAAGAAATTTATTCATCCAACTTTTTTGCTGTAGTAGAAATCGGCTTGAAACACCATGGTTTTGGTCGTACTCAGACAAATTAATTTTGTTGTGTAGGCCTACTTATTAATTAATTTTTCAGTTCAAAGTAACAGCTGAACAGTTGAACATTGTTAGAAATAAATGATTTTTCAACAAAACACAGATGATAAGCTTCAAATTACATGTGTACGTTTTGTTTTGGCATTTGGTTTTTTTTTTTAATTTTTGGCATTTATTTAAAAATCCGTGAAACTGCACAATAATGAATAAACCAGAGATTTTATGACCAACAATATTCAATTATTGTACAACATATAACTTGTACACATCAGTGAATGACAGACTTTCCTAGAAAAAAAAAACGATCACGTAGGCTCTGAAGCTCACACCCACGAATAATTATTCTCCGCTCCTGAAGACGTCACCGCAGTCCTGTCTGTCGTTTCATCTCTCTGCTGCTGCCCCGGCTCTGTGCGTCTGCCAAGGCCTGTTTTTAGGACGTGGAATATTCTCGTTGAGTGATGTCGGTCTTTGCCGCAAGGTTTTTAGCAT